ATCTGGCTGGCTAGTGCCCTTGTGAATCGCGCTATGTCACCATTGCTCCATTGACATGCTTGTATGTCTCCAAACACTATTATATATTGTAATTATCTTTATTATTTCTTAATAAAAAGTTTTTAAATCTGTTCTTATCAGCTTGATGGTTCCTCATTAAGCTGATCTACCCAGGATTAAAGCTGGATTCCGAGCCCACTTTGCTCCCTGGTTTTAGAGCCTACCTTGCTCCCTGGATTTGGACCTGGACCACCAGTGCGTAAGTATTGTTTTGGTTACTCTCTCTTTCCTCACTCTTCTCCCTTCCGCCGGAAGAGCGGCCTGCACGGTTTAAACGCACCGTGTATTCGCTGCTTAACCGGCAACACTTTCCTTTCTGCGCCACAGGACCCCAGGCCCTATAGCGCACTATCCGCTTTACCCTGGTACGGGAACTCGTTCCTGCACCGGTCTTTACCTCTTCCTGCCTCTTCTTGGTTGGCTGCCCCCGGCACCCCAGGAGGCCTTTTTTCCCTTCTTTTCACCCATACTACACATTTGCGATCTATGGCCACTCGTAGCGATCTTGCCAACGTCACACTTCTAGTGCCTCTTCGCCCCCCTTATCACTGCCCAGCGTGCCTACCGGTCTACCGTGACTATGTAGACCACGGTGGTTTATCTAGGCATCTCCGCCGGGTCCACGGGGGCCACCTGAACTTTGAATGCAGGGTCTGTCACGTGCAATCAGAAAAGCTGAAGGAAATAAAACTTCATCAAGCACGATCTACCAACTGTGCAGGAGCACTTCCCTCGATGTCGCCCGACCACACCTGCAGAGACCCCAAGCCGCGGGGCAGAATTCCCACAGGTGCAAGACGACGCAACCGGTCAAAAGACTACGGCTTGGACGAAGCATACCTCGCCTCCCAGTCTGCCACCAACAACGAGGTAAGTGCTAGTCACCACCTACCTCCTGAATCTCCCCCAGCTGTCGACCCAGTGCAAGTTCCACCTGCCTCTGTGAGTCCAGCCAACACGACCTGCACACCGCCGAGGAACAATGACGACCCGAACCAGCCACCCGAGCCTGCCACATCTCCATCATCTCCACCTCTAATACGTCGACCCCGTAGACGGACACGCCAACGCCGACGCCGCACATCCAGCAGCAGCACCGCCAGCCCCACCACTACTGGCCCCTCTACACTCGAGCCTCCTCCAGATGAGCCTACCACCAGCGTCGAGGACATCCACCCGCTTCCTCCGCCAACTGTCTCCATCCCCGAGGAACCACCTCCTGAGTCCGACATTACCAACACCAACGCCGAGCCTCCCGCCTGGGTGATCGCCTGGCGTGATCGCTTCGACTGCGCCCAGGACGAGGACATGCTCGAGGTAATGGTAAACGACCTGACAAGCCTCGCTCAGGACATGATGCCACAGCAACAAAGGCAGCACCATCGCCCTCGCCAAAATAGGCCTCAGCGCAGTCAGCAGCCCGCCCGCCGAAGGTACAACGCCCTCGAGGCAAGTCGTATCCAGCGCCTCTTCCGCGCCAACAAGCGGAAAGCCTTCGAGGAAGTGACCCGCGGTGCAAGCCGCTACTGCCAAATCAACAAGACAGTCCTTGAAGATCACTTCTCACGTGTCAACGGCCTGCGTGATGTCCCACAGGAGCCCCTAACCGATCTTCTTCCTCCTGCTCCTCAGCCTTCGACCAACGACCCGCTCTGCGCTACTTTCACCCCTGCGGAAGTAGCAAAGCGCCTCACCAAGTGTCACAACACGGCTCCCGGCCCCGACACCATTAAGTACTATGCCTGGCGCCGTCTCGACCCTGATGGCTACATCCTGGCCGCACTTTTTAATGCGGTTCAGCGTACGGGACACGTGCCCAAGTCGTGGAAAACATCAACCACCATCTTGATCCACAAAAAGGGTAACCATGACGAGGTAAGTAACTGGCGGCCTATAGCCCTCGCCAATACCCTTGGCAAAATTTACTCGGCATGCATTGCCAATCGCCTACTGCAATGGTGTGACTCCAACAACACCATCTCCACCATGCAGAAGGGCTTTATGCGCTTTGAAGGGTGCTCTGAGCACTCCTTCATCCTTCAATCTACCATCCAAAGCGCACGCCGCAAGAACAAAGAGTGCCACGTTGCGTGGCTGGACCTCTCAAACGCCTTCGGGTCGGTCCCCCACGCCACCATCCTCACCTGCCTTAAATGGTGTGGCCTCTCCTCTACCTCGATCGACTGCGTCATGGACCTCCTCACCAACTGTCACACCCGCATCCGGACCAGCTCAGGATACACCGACCCCATCCCTATTCAAGCGGGCGTCAAACAGGGCTGTCCACTCAGCCCAATCCTCTTTAATCTAGTTGTTGAACCTGCACTCCGCCTCGTCCACAGCTTGAAAAAGGGATACCTCCTGCATAATCACGACATCTCGGCCCTTGCCTACGCTGACGATATTACCGTCGTCAGCAGCTCCAGAGAGGGCCTGCAATCGCAACTCGACACTCTCTCCCGCTGGGCACAACACAGTGGACTCTCGTTCAACCCTTCCAAGTGCGCCACCCTCTCCGTAGTAGGTAAGTACCACTGCGACGACAACTCCCACTTCACCATCCAGGGAGCCAATATACCGCAGCTCAGCAAAGATGACCACTACCTCCACCTCGGGGTGCCCACTGGACTCACACTTGGACGTTCTGCTGATGCTGTCATAGATGGGATTATCATGGACCTTAAACATGTGGACAACTCCTGCCTCGCCGCCTGGCAAAAAATAGAGTGTGTAAGTACTTTTCTCACATCTAGATTGACTTTCTACCTCACTCTAGGCAAAGTCCACAAGAAGAGGCTTACCCACCTCGACAACACCATCAAAAGATGCGTCAAGAGGTGGATGAACCTCCCTCAACAGGCCAGCCCGGAACTCCTATATATGCCACACGACCAGGGAGGCGCCAACATAACACCCTGTAATATCCTTGCGGACGTCGCACAAGTAAGTCACGCCGTGCACCTGCTTCACTCTAGGGATTCGACTGTTACCACTTTAGCCCTGGAGACCCTGAAACTCGTCGTCGAGAAACGAATAAAGCGACCACCAAGCGACGCTGACTTGTGCACTTATCTAGCCGGATCAACAGAACACGAATTCGGCAACGACCCATACGACGTCCCATCCGTATGGACCCGGCTCCGAATGGTGACCCGACGCCTCAAATCACGCGTCCACATAGACTGGCACCCCAGCGGCGACGGAAACCTCATACCCTCCGTCAACGGTCGTCCCATCACCGTGCTCAATGCCTCCAAAACCATCTCTGCGGCGGTCAGATGCTCCTTCCTCAACCAACTCCTGAAAAAACCGGACCAAGGTAAGGCATTTAGACTCACAGCCACCAACTCCAACAGCAACCACTTTCTGCGTGAAGGGAACTTCACCAGATTTGCAGACTGGCGCTTCATACACCGCGCCAGGCTGAGCGTGGTTCCCCTGAGAGGCCTCCGGAGATTCGGCAATGGAAGCCAAACGTGCCGCAGATGCCAACGACACCGAGAGACCCTCGCGCACGTTGTCAACCATTGCCCTCCCAACTTTAGGTTGATCACACAGAGACACAACGCCATCCTCGATCGCCTGAAGAAAGCCTTCTCCCACAAAGACCTTACCATCTACGTAAATCAACGGATCCCGGAGTTCCCCAGCAACTGCCGCCCGGACCTTGTGGTAATTAATCAACAACCCAAGACCGCCACCATCGTAGATGTCGCCATCCCGTTCGAAAACGGGACCGACGCCTTCAGCATCGCCAGAGCAGAGAAAACCTCCAAATACGCAGAACTCGCCAATTTCTTCAAAGAACGTGGATACGACACCTTCCTGGACGCTTTCGTAGTAGGATCCCTAGGCGGTTACGACGCTACCAATGATGGTGTACTTCAACGTCTGGGTGTCAACCGCAACTACGCTAAGCTCATGCGTAAGCTCATGGTGAGTGACTGTATCCGCTGGAGCCGCGACATCTACGCCAACCACCTTGGGTACAATCAACGGAACTAACCTACCATCCGCACTCGCAGTCCTACTTTGTATATTTGGCTGGCACAGTGCCCTTGTAATCGCGGTCTTACTTTGTAAATACTATCACATCCTGTATCTATCTGCCAGGCTGAGTGCCCTTGTAAACGCGATGATCTCTTTTTGTTTTACAGCCACCGAACGGCTGTTTCTCCGGCCCTGTGCCCATGTTCCGCGACCGAGGCAATGCCTCCTTTTATCAATACTCCACTACTAAAACCCTGTAAGTTACTCTAGTGGCAAAATGCCCATGTATAAACATTCACTCTACCTAACGGTAACTTTGTACATATTTTATTCAATATCAATAAATGGCTTTTAAATCTGTTCTTATTCAGATGCTGCACAGTTTGGTCGGATCCATAGGGTTGGCGACAAAAGCCTATTATGGCTTATTTTTGCAACTGCGGGGCACCATCGAGGTCCCCAACGCCGGCTAGCCGCCCGCTGCAGCGGCATAGTCGGTAGGGGTTGCCAGGGGTGGAGCTTTGCGGGATCTTCGGATCCCAGCAAACTTTAATGAACGCAGTATCTGTTCTTATCAGCTTAATTATATTAATGTAATTTTGCTGTCTCTTTTCAGGTTGCCAACCGGATTCCGAGCTGAGTGCTCCCCGGCCTCTGGGTAAGTTATACTGACTTCTCTGTTCTACCTTCTTCTCTCTTCCATCGGGAGAGCGGCCTGCACGGTTTAAACGCACCGTGTATTCGCTGCTCGACCGGCAACACTGTTCCTATCGGCGCCGTTCCCGGTAGCCATTCGGTGCTCTGCGCGAGCATCCTTTCCATAGCGTATAGCCACACTGTACGCTACTTTCTTCTTCCCCTTCCCGCCTCTTCTTGGTTGGTTGCCCCAAGCGCCCCAGGAGGCTTTTCCGCCCCTTTCCCCTACCAATTTCCTACACATTTGATCACACATGCCAGAAGAGACAATACTCGTCCCTCTTCAACCGCCGCATGGTTGCAGACTCTGTCTGCCCATTCCTAGGGAATACTCTGACCATGCGGGTCTGGTTAGGCATTTAAAACGTGATCACGCCACTTCCCTCACATTTGAGTGTAGGGCGTGCGGGCTCATCTTAGACAAGCTAAAGGCCATGAAATACCATCAAACCAAATCTGAGGCTTGTCGTGCCAGCATCGAAGCTGCCACTCCACCTCCTCCGCCACCCCCTACTAATGGGATAAGACGTTGTATACCAATACGACCTAGGAAACGGCGAGCCACCGGCCACCCCCCCTCTACCACCCAGCCCGCACCAGAAAGCGACCAATCTTCTGACGTTTCCTCACCAACTGTGTCTCCAGTCATCAGGTCCAGACCCCGTCGCAGGAGAACTACCAGATCATCGCAGCTCACCCCAGCAGAGGAACAGTCTCCAGGTGTACAACCCGTATCAACCCAAACCACGGGACCTTCAACCCCCTTGTCTAGGCCGCCTGATTCATCAGGTCAGATCACCAGTGGCAACCTCTCATCTCTCGGCCCGCATCAGCCCATCCACCAGTTCCCACCCACTTCACCTGGGCCCCATCCCACCAATCTGCAACCCCATAGCCAACAGGGCGATGGGGACCTCTCAGGCCAGATGTCCGTCCCTGGCCCGCAGAACGGTGAGGCCCACCCTAGCCAGATGCGAATTCCTGGCTTACAGTCGAGCAGCCAGACGTCCATTCCTGGCTTGCAGTCGAACAGCCAGACGTCCATTCCTGGCTGCCCTGCCAATGACATGCACTGTCAGATGTCCATTCCTGACCAGCATAACAATTGCACTCTCCCTAGCCAGACCTCCGCTCCTAGCCCACTGTGTAATGGTGCCCACACAAGCCAGATGTCCACTCCTGGCGGCCACCCCAATGGCGAGGACCCTCCGTCTTGGGTATCTGCGTGGGTAACTCGCTTTGATGCAGTCCTGGACGAGGACATGATGGAGAATATACTTGGTGACTTCATCGCCCTCGCACACCAGATCTGCAACATCACAGCACCACGGCAGCGTTACGGCACACGTGCCCCAAGCACAACACCTCGTGACCCGCCCCGGTCAGACGCTAGCGAACTTCAACGCCTGTACAAGGCAAATCGTAAGCGTGCTTTTGACCGGGTAGTGGGCGGGCCACCCCGTTACTGCACTGTGGACCCACGCACAATCTCCAACCACTTCCGCACCATGTACGAGCGACCAGCCCCTGAAGCTGTCGTTCCTGTTCCAGCCGACCCATGCCCTCCACCGGAGACCAGTAACCCTTTTGAGGCCCCCTTCACGCCACAGGAGGTGGCTACTAGAATCGCAAAGGGGCACAACACCGCTCCAGGTCCGGACAAAATCCGGTATCTTCACTGGAGGCGGATTGATCCAAAGGGCATAATTCTATCTTCCATCTTCAATGCAGTCTCAAGGACGGGCTATGTCCCCCGCAGCTGGAAGGTATCCACAACGGTGCTGATTCACAAGAAAGGCGACACGGCCAACCTAAAAAACTGGCGCCCTATCTGCCTCTCAAACACCTTGGGCAAACTGTACACAGCTTGCCTGGCAGATAGGCTACTTCGCTGGTGCTCTGATAACAACCGCCTCTCGCTATCCCAAAAAGGCTTCTTGAATTACCAGGGTTGCCTTGAACATAACTTCGTCGTAAAATCGGTAATTCAGGACGCTAGGAGGTCTTTGAAAGACTGCTGCATAGCTTGGCTAGATATAGCCAATGCTTTTGGCAACATACCCCACCACACGCTGTGGGAGTCCCTCAGATGGCATGGCATCCATCAAGACGCCATATGTGTGCTTCAGCAGCTATATGAGGGCTCTTCCACTTGCGTGCGCACTAGCACGGGGTATACTGACCCGATCCCCATGAACTCGGGAGTCAAACAGGGGTGCCCAATTAGCCCCCTGCTTTTCATCTTGGCACTAGAACCGGCAATTCGTCGGGTTCAAGCTCTAGGAAAAGGCTATTCCCTTCATGGATGCAGTATTGACATATTGGCATACGCTGATGATGTGGCCTTGATTAGTAGCTCGCCAGATGGCTTACAGTCGCAGCTTAACTCCATCTCTGACTGGACAGCATGGGCCGGAATTACCTTCAACTATTCAAAGTGTGGCACCCTCACTGTAGCTGGGAAATCTCATGCCACCAGACCCACTGTCTTCACCATCAACGGTCAGGAGTTACCAGTGCTTGGTGACAGAGATGCTTATAGACATCTTGGTGTCCCCACTGGCTTCACACGCTGTGACACTGAAACTGCTACCATAAATAGTATCATACAGGCCATAGAAAAGTTGGACTCATCAAGGCTTGCCCCATGGCAAAAAATAGATGCCATCAATACCTTTATAATGCCAAAACTGTCGTTTTGTCTGACTAATGGGACAACGCCAAAGAAAATCCTTGACAATATCAACCGAACCACCAAACGCTGTGTGAAGCACTGGCTATAGGTCTGCCCCAGCGAGCAAGCCCAGAATTGCTCTTTCTCTCATACAAGCAAGGAGGCACAAACCTCACACCTACCAGCCAGTTGGCAGACATTGCCCAACTATGTCATGCGCTTCACCTCTTCCAATCCAGAGACCCTAACATCACTTCCATAGCACATAGCGCACTCGAGGGAGTAGTGATGAAACGTATCGGCAGGCGGCCCTCTCCCGAAGACCTATGTAGCTATCTCAATGGGTCCATGGAAGATGTTTTTGGTCTTCCTAGCAAAGACATCTCCTCTACCTGGATGAGACTCAGAATGGCCACTCGGCGTTTAAAGAAATACCTACACTTTGACTGGACAATTGGTCCTGACAACATTCCAATCATAACTGCCGAGGGCAAATGGCTACGTACCGACAACTGCCATCAAACCCTCACTGGTCTCATGAGGATTTACCACCTTCAGAAACTTATCGCAAAACCAGATCAAGGGAAGGCTTGTGGAGTCACGGCGGCCAGCGAAGCCAGTAACCACTTTATCAACAATGGCAGATTCACTCGTTTTGCCGACTGGTTTTTTGTACATCGGGCCAGACTAAGTGTGGTTGCCCTCCGCGGCCACAAAAGGTTTGGGAACGACACCAAGCGGTGCAGGAGATGCGGATATGCCCGCGAAACCCTGGCCCATGTACTTTGCCACTGCCCCCCAAATTTCCACTTAATCACCCGGCGCCACAATGCTATCTTGCAACGCATCATCACTGCCTTCCGACCGAAAGATGCGACGGTACTGGTCAACCAGCGAGTGCCTGGTTTTGAAGTAAACTGTAGACCCGACATGGTGGTAATCCACGAGCCCTCAAAAACAGCCACCATTGTCGACGTGACCGTACCATTTGAAAATGGTCCTACGGCCTTCCAGTCAGCCCGTGACGAAAAGCTTCAGAAATACAACGCCCTGGTTCAGCACTTTCGTCAGAAGGGATACAATACACATATAAGCGCCTTCATCATCGGAGCGCTGGGAGGCTACGACCATGCGAACGAGGAGACCCTACAACGACTAAACATCAGCAGGCGATATTCGAAACTTATGAAGCAGCTGATGGTTAGTGATACGATCCGGTGGAGCTGCGACATCTACAAGCGTCATCTGGGATACCAGCGACAGAACGAAGCCCCGCAACACCGACAACGGTAAATTGGCACCTCACCACTCTCATGTAAATACCTTGGCTGGCGTACGTGCCCATGTCCGCGTACTCCTTTCATCTATGTACAGGTCCCTGCGACCTTTTTACTGGCATCTCAGCCCATGTACACGCGCCTCATTTGTATATGTTCGCGTACACCTTGGTTGGCATACAAGCCCATGTCCGCGAACATCCACTTCTGTATCCATAACAGTCAGGCACATGAGCCCATGTTCGCGATACTACCCACAACTCTGGGTAATTACCTTGGCTGGCATACGTGCCCATGTCCGCGCACTCCTTTCTTCTATGTATAGGTCCCTGCGACCTTTTTACTAGCGTCTCAACCCATGTACACGCGCCCCATTTGTATATGTTCGCGTACACCTTGGTTGGCATACAAGCCCATGTCCGCGAACATCCACTTCTTTATCCATAACAGTCAGGCACATGAGCCCATGTTCGCGATACTACCCACAACTTTGGGTATCTTGTTCAGTTATCTTGCCTAAATATCTCCTTATTGTAAATAATTTAATCTCTTAATAAAGGCTTTTTAAATCTGTTCTTATCAGCTTGATATCTGATACGGTCTCCATCGGAGACCTTCGATATTAACCTGATTTTTGGAACGGGGCGGGAAAGGGGGCTTGCTCCCTCCCCGCCGCGGGTTGCTCTGGCCTGGCACTTATTGCCAGAGATAGCCCACCCCCCTTTGGGGGGAAATAAATAATAAAAGATAGAGAAATTAATTATTGAAGAAAAAAATTTTTTTTCTTTTTCCAGTTGGTTGTCATTCACGGAAGATGCCAGAGGAGCGATTACAGTAATTGCAAGACATTCTCCAAGCGAGGATTAGCAGGAAAAAGAAATGTGGCGAATTGCAGAAGAAAAGGTAAGAGAAAATGCGGATGGCGATAAACCGCCATCGCCGCATACTTCCGGTACGCTACGATGAATCTGAGCGATGCGAGAAAGACGTTCCCGTGCTGTTGGTCGTTATCGCTAATCGGCGATTCGAAGTTATTGAAGAAAAATGAAATGTGCAATTTTTTCAGAGTGTGACTACTGTGGACAACACGCACGGCCTGCACGTAGAAGACCCAGGCACCCCAGGAAAGGTAAGCCTCACTCTTTACATTGAAGAAATGAAGTAGCGCGACATTTTTCTAAAATAACGGATAAAAGCGAATTGTTTCAAAATTATTGCATGGAATATATTGTAATATCGAATCGGCAAATATTCTACGTTACATACAGAAATTTCTAATGTATTTTGCTAGCGAAAAAATATTTAGCATCGAAATGCTATCAGTATTCGACCGACGCAACGCTGGTACGGGCTGCGGCATAATTTCCTCCTGTGATGATTGGTGACCAACAGGAGTTTTATGCCGTTGTCAGGCAACACCCATGCAATACCTGACATTTCCTGTAGCCTTTAGCATCGTCTGCTATCGTTTCCTGACGTTCTTTCGTGTGTATTAACGGATATTTGCCGATCGACGTCACCTGGACACACCACACGTGTATTGTACGTTTCCAGACTTGGCCCGTCGGCACCTTTGATGTGTTTTTTATCGCTTCTCGGCCTTATGGCTAAGATCAAATGTGTAGTATCTGTTCTTATCAGCTTGATATCTGATACGGTCTCCATCGGAGACCTTCGATATTAACCTGATTTTTGGAACGGGGCGGGAAAGGGGGCTTGCTCCCTCCCCGCCGCGGGTTGCTCTGGCCTGGCACTTATTGCCAGAGATAGCCCACCCCCCTTTGGGGGGAAATAAATAATAAAAGATAGAGAAATTAATTATTGAAGAAAAAAATTTTTTTTCTTTTTCCAGTTGGTTGTCATTCACGGAAGATGCCAGAGGAGCGATTACAGTAATTGCAAGACATTCTCCAAGCAAGGATTAGCAGGAAAAAGAAATGTGGCGAATTGCAGAAGAAAAGGTAAGAGAAAATGCGGATGGCGATAAACCGCCATCGCCGCATACTTCCGGTACGCTACGATGAATCTGAGCGATGCGAGAAAGACGTTCCCGTGCTTTTGGTCGTTATCGCTAATCGGCGATTCGAAGTTATTGAAGAAAAATGAAATGTGCAATTTTTTCAGAGTGTGACTACTGTGGACAACACGCACATAACAAAAGTGGTTAAACAGAACGATGATACTTTAGAGAAATTTAAACAAGAGATTAAAGACATTATACATAAAAATAACGAGACGACATTAAAGGCAGTTAAAGAATTAAAAGAGGAAATTAATAGTTTAAAAAATATCAGAGAATTAGAAACAGGAGAGGTAGAGAAGAGGTCTGAAATTAAATTGGAAATAGAGAAATTAGTTAAAGAGAATACAGAGAAGACTATGGATGCAATTGCAGAAATGAGAGAGGATATCACCAAGATTAGTGATAATGTAAACAATCCGAACAGTGCTCAAATACAAAATGAAAACACAAGTTATAGTGATATTCTAAAACTAGGAAAGAAGCAAGCAGATGTTTTTCTACCGACTCCTACACCTAGGTACACAGTTTTAATTTACAGTAGAAACGAAAAGAATACTTCAGAGAAAACAAGAGAGATTTTGACAAAGAACATCGACCCAACTAGTTTGCGTCTAGGAGTTAAAATGATAAGAAAGTTAAAGAACGGAGGAGTAGCTGTAGATGTTGGATGTACGGAAGAAATGCTGGCGTTGGAGGATGCGGTAAAACAAGTGAAGGAACTCAAAACTATAGCAAAAGCACAAAAGTTACCACTGATCAAATTGGTGTCAGTACCTGTGAACATCCAAAAAGAAGAAATAATAACAAAACTGTATGAACAGAACTGCTGTTTTTACGAAAACGTTTCAAAAGAAATCCTAGATGAAGAAATTAACATAAAATTCTCTATTCCTCATAGAAATAAGGACTATAGAACATGGGTGTTGGAAACCTCCGTAATGCTCCGCGAAATGATGATAAAAGAGGAAAAACTTAATCTGGAATGGACAAGATGTCCCGTTTATGATTATATAGTGGTTAAAAGATGTTTGAAGTGCCTAGCGTTTGGTCATTTCGGTAAGGAGTGTCAGCAAGAAATCAATGCCTGCAGTCAGTGCGGAGGTCCACATATTTTCAAGGATTGTAATAGAAAATCAAATACACCTAAATGTGTAAATTGTGAAAGGAACAAACTGAATAACACTGAACACAATGCGATGGACAAAGTTTGTCCAATATACATCAGGGAACTTCAAAAATATACCGGCAAAGCCTAATGGGACAAGCGTCATCTTTCAGGATTCTGTGTAAACCCATTAAGATTATGGGTTAGTTTTTNGACCGAGGCAATGCCTCCTTTTATCAATACTCCACTACTAAAACCCTGTAAGTTATTCTAGTGGCAAAATGCCCATGTATAAACATTCACTTTACCTAACGGTAACTTTGTACATATTTTATTCAATATCAATAAATGGCTTTTAAATCTGTTCTTATCAGCTTAATGGTTCTTCATCAAAACTGATGCCCAGTCTGGACTACGAGCCCTACACTGCTCCCCAGTTCCTGTGGTAAGTATACTTTTGGTTTACTTGTTTTCTCTCTCCTTTACTCTTCTCTCTTCCGTCGGAAGAGCGGCCTGCACGGTTTAAACGCACCGTGTATTCGCTGCTCGACTGGCAACACTATCGTCTATCGTTACCAGCCTAGGCTGGTAGCCTTTCTGGTGCTCCGCTTGGACACCCCGTGGCCCTTAAAAGCCCGTGGTGTCTCATTCAGGGCACTTTCTATCTTCCTCTTCCTGCCCCTCCTTGGTTGGCTGCTCTGCGCCCCAGGGGGCATTTCCGCCCTTTTCCCCCTTTCTATCTACGCTACACATTTGATGCCATGCCAGAGGTAACAGTGTTAGTCCCTCTGCACCCGCCCCATGGCTGCAAGCTGTGCCTCCCCATACCAAGGGAGTACAGTGACCATGCGGGCCTGGTCAGACATCTAAAGAGAGAGCATGAGGTACCGCTTCTTTTCGAGTGCAGGGCCTGTGGACTTGTCCTAGAAAAACTTAAGGCAATGAAGATCCACCAGACCCGCTCTGAGGCTTGCAGAGCAAGCATCGAAGCCGCATCACCACCACCACCGCTCCCTGCTGACCGTGTTATCCGGAGAATAAGGAAAAGCTACGCCTCAAGAAAACCTCGTCCGCAGTCCTCGCCCATCTCTGCCAGTGACCAATCTTCCATGGACCCTCCATCTCCGACGTCTCCGCCCTCCCCACCTCAGCGTCGCCCAAGAAGAAGGACCACTAGACCCGTCCGGGCAAACTCTGAGGAAGGACAGCCATCTGGGACACCCAACAACGAAGCGATCCCTCCGACGCCGACACCATCCTACGCTGATGTCCTACGCTCAAGTCCGGCAAGCACCATACCAACACCTAGCCGCCATGACATCGCAGCCCCACTACCTGCTCGTCCCCCGACGGACACTAGGGAAGTCCCCCAGCCCCTAACTGGGGTTTCTCAGGTAGGCCCACTACCTATCTCTTCCCCCCCAGGTCCACCAGCTGCTACGCAGGAAATCCGCAATAGGTCTACTACTTCCAACAGCCAGCAAGCTGATACGCCCCCACCATCATGGGTATCGGCATGGATCACTAGATTCGACGCCGCAATAGATGAAGACATCTTGGAGGGAGTCCTAGGTGACTTCATTGCCTTGGCGCAACAAATATGTAATGTCCGCACCCCACCCCAGCAGCTACAACATTGACCACGCTACCACCGTAACTCGACTGACCGCAACAACAACTCCCAGCCGGAGGCAGGTGAAATCCAGCGGCTCTATCGAGCCAACCGTAAGCGCGCCTTCGACCGCGTCGTCGGTGGCCCCTCCCGTTTCTGCCGCATAGACGCCAAATCCATCGAGGACCATTACCGAGAGATGTATAAAGCTACAACACCTGCTAACACTGATCCTGTTCCTGCACGCCCGTGCACGCCTCCTGATACCAACAACCCTTTCGAGGCCCCTTTCACCCCCCAAGAGGTAGCCCGACGCATCTCCAAAGGCCACAATACTGCACCTGGCCCAGATGGACTTAGGTACCTGCACTGGAGGCGGGTCGACCCAAAAGGTCTAATCACGGCAGCCATCTTTAACGCTGTTCGCAGAATAGGATATGTACCCAGCAGCTGGAAGATTTCGACCACCGTGCTTATACACAAAAAGGGCGAGGTCTCCAACATCAGCAACTGGCGCCCGATCTGCCTCTCTAACACGCTCGGCAAGCTCTACACCGCTTGCCTTGCCGATAGACTGCTACGCTGGTGTAACACTAATAACCGCCTATCCTCCTCACAAAAAGGTTTTCTAAATTATCAGGGCTGCATTGAGCACAACTTCGTGCTTCAATCTGTTATTCAAAATGCCCGACGCTGCAGGAAAGACTGTTTTATTGCTTGGTTGGACATTGCCAATGCGTTCGGCAATATTCCCCACGTGACCCTCTGGGAATCCCTCAAGTGGCACGGCCTCCATCAGGATGCAATCTGCGTACTACAACAGCTCTATGATGGGTCGTCCACTCAGGTACGTACCAGTATGGGCCTCACTGAGTCCATCCCAATGCAATCTGGGGTCAAGCAGGGCTGCCCCATCAGCCCGCTGCTTTTTATTCTTGCAGTAGAACCAGCCATACGCCGCATTGCGGACCTCGACAAAGGGTACTCTCTTAACGGCTACCCGACCAGTGTCTTGGCATACGCCGACGACATTGCTCTCATAAGTGACACAGCAGAAGGCCTCCAATTGCAGTTAGACGCCATAGCGGACTGGACCAAATGGGCGAACATCAACTTCAACATCGCGAAATGTGGGACTCTCAGCATTAGAGGTAAGGAACACACCACTAGTAATAACTCTTTCCTTATCAATCAACAGACTATCCCCGTCTTGGGCAACGACGATGCCTACCGCCACCTTGGCGTTCCCACAGGCTTTGGTAAGCACGACACCCCCGCCGCCACCATCAACGGGATTCTACAGTCTTTGGTAAAGCTTCACACCTCTAAACTGGCGCCGTGGCAGAAGGTAGACGCACTGAACACCTTCATCATGCCCAAGCTCACCTTCTGTCTAACGGCCGGGACAACACCTAAAAGCGCGCTTACCAAAATCGACAGGGCCACAAAACGCTATGTCAAAAAATGGCTTGGCCTCCCACAGCGGGCCAGCCCCGAAATAGTGCACCTCCCCTACATGTGTGGCGGGACCAACGTTACGCCCACGAATCAGCTTGCTGATATTGCGCAGGTGTCTCATGCGATGCACCTCTTTTTCTCCAAGGACTCCAACATCACAGGCATCGCCCTAAAAGCACTCACCGAGGTCATCAACAAGCGTATTGGTAAGACCCCCAATGACGAAGACCTGTGCGAATACCTCAATGGGTCAATGGATGGCGACTTCGGGCTTCCAAGCGCCGACATTACATCATTATGGACGAGGCTCAGAATGGCCACAAGACGATTAAAGAAACGCATCAACATCGCCTGGACAGTCGGACCCGGAAATCTGCCCAACATTTCAGCAGGTACTACGCTAATCCGTCCAGAGGACTGCCAGAGGGTCCTCTGCGGCCTGCTAAAAGAACACTTCCTCGGAAAGCTGCTTGCCAAACCCGATCAAGGAAAAGCATATAAAGTGACATCGTTTAGCCCGGTAAGTAACCACTTCATGAATAATGGAAAATATACACGATTTTCAGACTGGTATTTTATCCATCGGGCGAGGATGAGTGTGGTGGCTCTCCGTGGTCATAGACGCTTTGGTAACGACACCAAACGTTGCAGGAGATGCGGCTATGCCCGGGAGACCCTAGCCCACGTCCTCTGCCATTGCCCGCCAAATCTGCATTTGGTCACGCAAAGACATAACGCCATACTCGACCGTATAGTGGCAGCATTCAAACCCGAAGGAGCCACTGTACTTGTCAATCAGCGTGTACCGGGGTTCAGCGACATCTGTCGGCCGGATATGGTAATCATCGACGAAAAATCAAAATCAGCCACAATCATCGATGTCACGACGCCTTTTGAGAACGGACAGACCGCCTTCCAGCTTGCAAGAGAGGAAAAACTACGCAAATATGCTCCCTTTGCACAGCACTTCCGCCAGCAGGGCTTCGACACCCACATTAGTGCTTTTATAGTCGGAGCTCTCGGCGGGTATGACCACGCCAACGAGGCAACTTTGCAACGGCTTGGCATTAGTCGTCACTATGCCAAACTTATGAAAAAGCTAATGGTTAGTGACTCTATAAAATGGAGCAACGACATCTACAGAGGACACATCGGCGATACCCGCCAGCGTCGTACAACATCGCTCCTCCCCAGCGACAACTAAACTACAGGTCTTCTATCGTGCACATCCGGCAGGCAACTGTGCCCATGTACCGGGAGAGGTCGCTGCGCGCGGTCTGTGTATGTGATAGTAATTTTGGCTCTGTGTTTCGATCATCATAAATTGGTTATTTTTCGCTGTATTTTGGATTTTTATATATCTTTGTATTCAGTAACTCTTAAGGATTCTGAAAGTGTAAATATTTTAAACATTGGTAAGATACTTTTTATACTATAAGTGCCCGTTATTTTCGGCCTTTGTCGTCCCCGTTCGTGCTCCCCGTTTGGATCCAGGCTATTTTCGTTACGTTATTATATTGTTCTAGATATGTGTAAAATGTTGTATAAATTTGGTTTCATTCTTTTAAACGGTTCGCGAGAATTTTCAGTTTAATTTATTCACCATAGACAAAGGTCGTGTCCACCACGTGGTCGTGTTAGCCACTCGGTGGGAGCTAGCTGTTTGGCGTGTGGCTTTTCGCGACGGTTGATTTCGTCTGTTCCATACTCCTTTATTTGTAATAGCAACTCTACTGCGTATACCTGATGAACATGGATTCCAGCAAGCTCTCGGAGTTCCTGGACAAGGCCTACAGAATTGCAGACAAAGTGAAAGATTACTTTGTTGACAACCGTAACGGGCGTTTCAGCACGGAAGCGCACACAAGATACATAAATAATCAAATTCAAAAAATAATCGACTTGGCAGAATCCACTATGAAGGATAACTGCCCATCGGATAATCTTACGGATAAGACTAATGCCTCGAGTGTTCCACTTACTTTGGGCACTCCTACTGGTAAGGGAGCCATGTCCCCTGGATACAAGGAGTCCTTGCTCACTAACATAACTCCTACTATGCCTGTCCTGCTGCCTCCCAGAATCCATCCTTCATCCAATTATCATCCCTCTAACCTCCACCAAAAATTGACAGAGATTACTACCAAAATCGATGGCTTAACCAACACTAGCGATAAGATCAGCAAAAACATCAACAGTATAGTTGAACAGCTAAACTATGTAGCCCCAAAAGAGCAAACTGAGGAGCTCTCTAGAAAACTAGAAAAGCTTATTACTGATGGCCCTATACAGGAAATCTTAGAAAACCAAAAGTGTGTACAGGAGAAGATGGAAAAGCTCCACTCCAGCAATTTCTCTCCTGCTGAAACACCCATCACCTATAGTACTGTTCTCCGATCCAGCAAGATCGTCAATCCCAATACTAACACAAAAATCCCAAGAACACCTATGTCTAGTCCTGAGGTCTTGCTCTTGTATCACAATAGCGATGATAAGAGCTGCAATAACTTAAGAAAATTAATTTATGACAAAGTAAAACCATCTGAACTTAATATTGGAGTTGAACGAATACGTAATATAGGAAACGGCGGCTTGGCTCTCGAGCTTAAGAAGGCAGCTGATGCCCAAAAACTTCAAAACTATATTGAGGATAAAATCCCGGAGATTGCTGTTAAAAAACCTAAGAAACGTCTACCGAATCTCATAATATACTCCGTACCTTCACTGATCGCACATGAAGAATTGCCACAACTCTTATACAATCAGAACGATACAATATCTGAAAATTTCACTGAGGAAGACTTCAAAGGAGCATTAAATATTAAATTCGCAATGGGAAAAAAGACTAAACCATTTACAAATTGGGTGATCGAGGTCACACCCCAGCTGCGAAAGCAGTTGTTAATTCTGGGCAAGGTAAACCTGGAGTGGTCCAGGTGTCGCGTGGCGGATTTCTGCCCCGTCCTGCAGTGCTATCGCTGTTGCAGATTCGGTCACACTACTAAAAATTGTAGCCAGACCACTGCAACATGTAGCCATTGCACGGGTGAACATGTATTTAAATATTGCAACCATAGAGACAAACAACCTATTTGCATCAACTGTAAGCATGAAAAAGTTAGTAACACCGACCACAATGCACGGGACAGCCTCTGCCACATCTACCAGCGTATCAAATCCAACTTGCTAAAACAAACCGACTATGGAACAATATGCTAATAACTATATCAGTTTTCTGCAGTATAATGCTGGAAGGAGCATTGCAGCTACTTCCATCCTCAGCTCTCTCATGCCAAAATACGATTTTATTTTCTGTCAGGAGCCTTACTGTATAAATAACAAACCGGCCTGCATCCCATCCACCTGCACTCCACTCAGTGGCACTACTGACTACCCATGGGCCGTGTCCATTGTCATCAATAACAGACTATCTCTTCTCCACCACAAGGCACTGAGTACACAGTATATCTGTTGTACTGAGATAGTCATCAACAGCAAAAGACACATTTTGATAAACTACTACTGCCCAAAGAACCTCAACATCGAGCTTATGCTCAACAATATTCAAAACATTATGGACCACTTTATCGATGTCTATTTTATTCTGGCTGGGGACACTAACGCCCACTCCCCTACCTGGGGGGGTGAGCGTCTTGACAGCCGTGGACGCCTTCTTGAAGAGTTCTATGCCCACAACAACTTGCTCGTTGTTAACAACCCTTCATCCCCGCCTACCTTCACATCAAGCCAGGGTCACAGCTGGATTGATGTCATGGCCTGTTCTCTGGAATGTTACCCACACATTAATGATTGGAAAATCCTGGACGACAATATTGATGATCATGCATTTATTTCTTTCAAGATTGGTGTTGCCTCCCCCAACAATCTCTCCCAACCACGACCGAAATACAACCTGAAACGCGCCAATTGGAATGAACTTCAGGCATTTCTTTCCACCAACCTAGTTGACTGCAACCATGACGATAGTGATGAAGCCCGCCGCAGCATTGAACATAATATCGACATCATTGATAGAGCCTGCAAAATGTACATCCCCCAGTATGTTAACAAACGTAAATCCGTCCCATGGTGGACTCCTGATCTGACAAATCTTAGAAGGGACAATATTCACTTAAGGAAGAAATACCAGAACTGCCACAGGCAACCCCAACGTAATCACAACAAACAGCAATATTACCACCATTTGAACATATATAAAAGTGAAATCAAAAAAGCCAAACAGAAGTCCTGGGAAAATTACTGTGCCAATGCCACAAAAAGCCCATGGGGATTTATAACAAGACTCTGTACCAGGAAGCTAAGGAAAAGTCAAATTCTCTATTCTAACACAGCAGGGGAAGATTTTTTCCTAGCTGCAAACAGAAAAATCGATAGCTTCTGCCTGCAGGATTTAGAGGAAAATGACAATGAAATCCATCAAAGAATTCGGCATCAAACCAATGCAGACATCCACACTGAAAACGACCCTGACTTTCAACTTCATGAGATTGACAATGCCTTTAACAACCTCCGAAATAAAAAAGCACCAGGACATGACGATATTACTCCAGAACTGGCCAAAATCATCTGGAGCCTTGTTCCCAGTCAACTCACTCAACTATATAATGCCTGTCTTAATCATGGTATTTTTCCTGTAACCTGGAAACATGCCAGGATTGTCCCCGTTCCGAAGCCAGGAAATTCAGAGGAAAGTCGACCAATATCTCTCCTGCCAGTCCTTGGCAAAGTCTTGGAACGCTTGATGAATAACAGACTAATGTGGCATTTGGAGACAAATTCCATTATACATGGTTCACAGTTTGGCTTTCGGCCACAGAAGTCATCAGAGGATGCTATTGAAAAGGTTGTAAGCAGGGTCAATGATTTACTCGATAGCTACAAATATGTACTTGCCATAAGCCTAGACATTGCCAAGGCTTTTGACAGCGCGTGGTGGCCCCTTATCCTGCAACAGTTAAAAGAAATGAACTGCCCTGCAAATGTTTATAAAATTTTCTATGATTATCTCCATAACAGAACAGCCACCCTACAGTGTGGTGAACATCTTATCCATCGCAAAGTCGTCCGTGGCTGCCCACAGGGTTCTGTCTGTGGCCCAGTCCTTTGGAATGTCATTTTTAACAACTTTCTGGAGCAAGATTTCGGCCAGCATGAGATAGTTTCCTATGCCGATGATGCTCTTGTGCTCCTCGGGGGCCGCTCTCGTGCTGCTCTCGAGGAAAACGGCAGCAACGCTCTGAATAAAATCTTACAGTGGGGAGAAGATTACAAACTAAGATTCAATGCAAGGAAAACCAAAGGTATCGTCTTTAACAAACCGGGCAAACAGAACTTATACCTCAGAGTGCCCACTATTAAAATGGGAGGTCACTCTGTCACTATTAAAAAATCCATTAAGTATTTGGGAGTAATTCTCGACCATCGACTTCTCTGGAAAGAGCACATAAATTACATCACTGAGCGGACCGGAAAAATCTTTAATGCCTTCGCCCGCATTGCAAAGAAAAGATGGGGCTTGGCCTCCGAGGCTATGGAAACAATCTACAATCAAATTTTTGTGCCCATAACATCATACGCGTGCGGCAGCTGGGGATTGGCTGTCCGCAAAGTGCACAACAGACGTAAAATGATATCCGCTCAAAGATGTGCACTTATGCACATCACTAGAGCGTATGCAACAACTCCCAATACCTCCCTACAGATTCTGGCCAAAAAGGCACCCATAGATAAAGTTCTGATCTCTAAGACAACATTCTGGCACTTCAAACGGGGTCACACTATTTACATGGATAACTATAACATCAATAGCAGTGACTTCGAAAGCAGCATTGATTATGCTCTTACCAGGCATCCGGCAACACCCAATTTAATCACCTTCTCTCAGCCCGAGCATACAAACATCGAAATTTATACCGACGGCTCAAAAGCGGACTCTAAGGTGGGCAGTGGTTTTGCCGCCTTCCACAATAGCAACGAGATTGCCTCTGGACGTTACCGGCTGGGCAAACACTGTTCTGTACTCCAGGCAGAGCTGTTTGCCATCAAAATGGCGGTGACTTGGTCAGTCACCAACTACACTAACAACACTGTGGCCATTATTTCGGATAGTGCTTCATCCATCTCCCTGCTGCAAAGTGCCACTGGTCACCCCATCTCCAATGAAATAAAAGACATCATCAACAACACTAACAACTGCTATTTCATTTATTGGACACGAGCCCACCAGGGCACGCCCGGTAACGAGCGAGCCGATGCTCTGGCGAAATCTGCAGGAGATGACACCAACCTCCCTATCTCTTATACTAAGCTTACCTCTAAAACCGTCAAGAACCTACTTTGGAAGGATCTTATTATTTCTTGGCAGCAAGACTGGAATGATATTAACCATCATACCACATATAATTTCATCCCTCTCATTGAGCCTTTTATTCTGAGCAGGTGGTACAAACCTTGCCATCGTGTTAGTCAATTTCTCAGTAATCATGGCAGGTACAACTCATACCTTACAAGGTTCACTAATGCGTCCAATCCTAACTGCTCCCTGTGTGGTGTCGAGGACGGCAGTCGACACTACTTCTTTGACTGCCCGATGTTGGAACCAGAGAGGCTTTGCCTTAAGCTCACTATTGAGGCACATNGGAGGGGACAATGGGTGAAGCATGAAAGTTTCAAGATGCGACAATCGAGAAGGCCAGGAAGTGGGATGGCGTCGCTGTAGCCAAGAGGTGTGGACCGAGAGTGATGACAGCAAGGACAACTGGAGAGCAGCTCACGAGGAGTCAGCTGGCCAAGTTCAGAGAAATAGCAAAACCGATGGCGTTACCAGAAAAGCAAAGTGAACCAAAACCAGCAAAAACTGTCGTCAAAAGACTCAAAAGAACGGAGCGGCGAGCGATGCAAACGACCGAATTAGGGTCAGGACGGGGATCAGCAGCCACGTGGGGAAAAACGTTGACCCTCCATCCTTTGTGCCTTTTCGGCGCAATAATTCGAAAAGTATTGCTCCGATTTATACGAAAGTTTAATACGATAAACAGACTAACCCTTCCTAAAGACTAACAAGAAAGCAGAGCCAATGGCCTAATACGATGGCCAAAAAACAGCCGAAAGTCGGCAAGTAACGGTCGCTGAAACTAGCGAAATAATTATCGGAATTTAATAAATAAAATATCGATCGAATCGGGATAGCAAGGTGAACACAGCGGTGTAATACATAAAAACGTACGACATGAATTTGTCGAAGAGAAAACCGTCCGAAGTTCGACCACGTGGTCTCGGCCAAATAAAGCCCGTAACACCCGAAGGTCTAAACCGATTTTAAAAAGTAAGACGGCGTTGGAAAGCGCACGTCAACAGCAACAAAATGATATATAGTACACTCACCGATCGTAAAAAAGACCAAAGATAACGCAAGTTAAAAACGGAGCCTACAAACACAATACATATAGCAGTAGCGACAGTGGCGACCTCTAGTTTCGGAGATTACCTGCTGCAACGAAACTTACATACAAACATTACCTCTTTATTATATTAGTATAGAAGTATAGATTAATGATTTGCATTAGGTCCGCTAGGTGTTGCATCGTATCATATTGAATTGAAAGTGGAAGTAAAATTATAAAAATTTTATAACATTTCGTGGCGCCCTGTGGGGAAGCTGCAGCACCCTGGGGCACCACGGCGCACACTTTTGCAATCGCTGACATCATCTCACATTCTTAAATGTTTAATGAAATTTTTTGAAAAATTCCGCGTTTCTGCTCCTTAAATGTTAATTTTATTACAGATTTTTATTTATTTTACAGAAATGACAAAAATATACCGGAGAAAGTGTGACACAAATTCGATTATCGTATTGACTTGTGCACGATTACACTTAGATTCTATATTGAAATATTGTAAATTACTGTTTAAAATTTCGATATTTATGCTTTTATTTAATAACATTTTTGTCAATTAACTATATAGTTAGTTTGAAATAAGTGGACATTATTTAATTAACACTTCAAAATTGATTATTGTGTCTAATTATTGATATTTTCTGTAAATTAATATTTTTAAGGGAGAATTAAATTACGATACGGTTTCTGAAATGAAGTATTTAGAGGCATTCGTTCAAGAAATAGTTCGAAAACATCCTACAACAATCAGGTAATTTTCACACAATTTATATTTTAATATAATGTTATAATTTTTTTTTGTAATTGATTAATTTAGTATATTACTAGCAGATGAGCTCAGCGTTGCCGGGGCAAAAAATAACAACATCAAAGATTAATATTAGAAGTAGGAAATAATCTAACAAGTTATTTCGTACTTTTAACCTTTCTGTTATATTATATTATAGTATTTGATTTGTATAACTACAAAGGTTCTAAAGGTAAGGGTCTATCACACCAAGTGATTAAATAAAAATAATCTTTTAAAAATGCAACGAAAGCAGATAGGACCAAACAGTTTTTCTTAAATTTAACGTACAGTTCAAAATTTTAAAAATCGAATTAATTAATTTTCTTCTATTGGCTTTTGATTGAGCGATTTATACAATGGTCAAGTTTTATCTTAATATACTTATATTGAAATGAAATTGTTAATCTGTAATTTTTTTATTTTTCAAACTAAAAATTACTCTATTTAGTAACGTTTTTTAAAATAGCATTATCATAAAATGCAAATATACACAAATGACATATTTTATACATATATGTAGATTAGAGCGTAGGGCTGTAGAAGATCACGAATTGGGCGATACAGGAATTGTCGTTGAAAAGGGCACGATGATAGCAGTACCTATTTATGCTCTTAACCATGATCCTAAGTACTTTCCAGATCCAGATAAATTTGATCCCGAAAGGCAAGCTTAATATTTAATATCATTTTATTTCTGAATTACTTTCTACAATATTTTAAAGATTTTTTTTCTTATAGTTCTTTTTTCATAATCGATGGTTAAAGAGATTTTGAGAGTAGCCAAGGGTATAGGTAGGTTACCTATATCATTTACTGGCGCACGATCGTGTGATCGGCTCTCAAAACTTTTTATAGGAAGGCGAGAAAAATGTTTAAAAACGATCTAGAGGGTAAATTCTAGATCTTGTCAGGTCCCGACACCAGTTTGTCAATTTATCGTTCCGCGGACAAACACGCGTATGATTATTTTATAGATCTGATTCAGAGACTCTAAAGGAGACATTTTTAACAAATAAACAAGAGTAAAATTTAATTGTACATAAACAATCGAAAGTAGTACAAATATATGGGAAAGAGACAATAAATACAAATTACAACTATAAGTCGAGAGAGATATGGACTTATGCTTAACCTTTACGAGAGAGAGAGCTTACAAAATCGTTATTAAACATACAACCTGGTTTTGTTGTCATGCATCTTCTTCATCGGTAGGCAAAGGCACTTCATTTATAGATTCTCAAACTTCATTCTGTGGGAGGTCGAGATGTGCACAAAATTAAAGTATATCTTCTCAGTGCTAACTCCGGAATTATTCTATGTGACTCGTCTAAGGGCGTTGGTCCTCAGGAGCAATTTTTGTGGTGTCCTGACTCTGCCAGGTCTGTCGATGAACTCCCCGAATTCTGATAAATTTCCTCTATATCTGACGATCGGCGACCAATCATCATGCAAAGATTCTTCCGTGGAAACGGACGGAAAGGAAGATATTTGAGGGGTAAGCATTTCCCATCGAGGCGAGATTTTTAGCAGATAAGGGAAAAACAGAGGATGTTCTAACTTCCCTAGAAGGAAGTAGCATCTGTTATCTATTTTTCCCACTCTAAAACGTTATTTTTCTCACCCAAACGAAAGAATATTTTATAACAAAATATTAACATTATTAATAAAATTACTATTTTAGACCCGGGGCCTTTCAGATCTCACAGAGATAGACTGATTGCAATTTAAAAAAAAATATATATATATATATTAAGTTTTTATACGTTATTTAAGACATCATTTTAATTAATATTTCAACTAATTTTTATATTCATTTTAATCCTTCCGATTTCTTGAATAAGTCACACAATATAATAAGGTTGTTTTAATATTTATAATTTTTAAAAATATTTTTATGTGTTTTTAATATATGATAGTTTTAGTAATATATCACGAAAATTTTTGAATTATGTTCGATGTGTTTCTGTAGGTTTTTATCTGACAAGAGGAACATACTTCCTTTTAACTATTTGTCATTTGGAGTTGGACAAAGAAATTGTATAGGTATGAGATTTGCATTGATGGAAATTAAGATGGTTCTAGCTAAGACTTTACAATACCTTAGATTTAAACCAGGAATTAATACAAAGGTAAAGAAACATAACATTGAAATATTCTGTAAATTGTGTATATTTTGAAACACAAAATCTTTTCCTTTTATTACAGAAAGAGCCTGAGTTGCTTTTAGCAAGAGGTTTTAATCGCCCCAAAGATGTATGTTTAAAGATTGAGTTAAGAAAATGAATTTCTTTTTTACATAACACAAAGCCAGCTTCACGAATATTTCATATTATTAATTAAAGTAGTCTTATTTGTTTTGATTTCATTTATTAGAAAGTAAAACTTTTAGAAATAAATAATGTTATAAACGAAATTTTCTTAGTCTTAATGTGAAAGCAACATTTATTAACCGTGCAAACTATTGAAAATATCTTTTATCAGCGATTGCAAAAGTTTTTTCAAACAGGCAACCGAGCACATAGGGTGTGTACCGTACATGGGCACCAAAATACAGTTCTATTTAAGTGCCTGATTTAAATACAAATTCGAAAAATTAAAATTATGAATTCCAACGGCCCAAATATATCGTTTGGTGTGCCATTTATGTGGGTGCGATTGCTTTTGAAGAGGATTCGACGAATTTAAAAAATTCGTCGAATCCTCTTCAAGTTTTGCGGTGTTAAAAACGTATGCTTGCTGCTTACTAAACTGTTTTAACGTACTCGACATCATTTCTAACTGTTTTCGAATGTTTAAACACTCGTATCTCGAATGGAGAGGCCATCTTTTTGAAGAAATTTTGAATTTTTTGTGATTTCTCTTGTGAATTAATTTCCTTTAGTTTATTGCAAAACAGGATTCTTAGACTGGACTTCTTGGTGAGTATTCTTGCCTTTGCTTACCGTTGTTAGTTTTCTTCAGCTAACTACTTCTTGGCTGGTGATGAAGGCTTTTCGGCTTCTGAATTTCGTAGGGCCGCATTGGCTGTCATCGAAGAATTAAAGGAATACTTAATAGATAACGAGGAGTTTTACCTTCTCGTTATCTATTAGGTATCTATGTACGAGACCGCATACCGAATATAAGATTAATAAAGTACAGCGAATCATCGATATTTACGATGGCAATTCGATTTCTAAGGACGTCAGGAAAACTTGATTTATTATTGAAGAAGCAAAAAAAAAAAAAAAATAAAGTTTTATTGGATAAAAAAAAATGAAATCCTAGACAAAATTCGTTAAAGCTTAATAAAAGACCGATTTGTTCTCAACCTTTATCGTGTCAGTTCTTCAATCTAGCAAGAGAGTTGACACAGTCAATAAAATCAAGACACCTAAACCTAATCAAGAATGCCCAAAGCGGCAACATTTGTAACAATGGAGTTCCAGGCAAATGAATAAAATTAACATCGAGACCACTCGATGTTAATTTATTCATTATTAGAAAGGACTTGCGAGACTGTGATAAGACTTCAAGGACAAAGTTATTAAATAAACTATCTTTCTTTCCCATTGCGAAGAACAGACAATTCCTTCACAATATAATACGATATAATGAGTACCAACGGTAGTAATGATTTTACAAAACTAATTTATGAGTGACATACAGGATAGGAAGTGTAGTTGATTAATTACACTTTAATAATACCTGTACCTTAGTTTGTGGAGGTGAATAATATTTCATATCGGACATTATTCGGTATGCTTACTTGTCGTAGTGTATTTGCGATATCTCTGATGTATAATGTAATGGAGATATACTGAAAAAAACTTAAAAATAAGATGATGTCACTAATATTTAAGACTTGTATCCATAGGTATGTTTTAGATCAATAAATTTATTATTTATTGATATTTCTAAATTTTTCTAAATTTAGAAAATTTAGAAAAATTTTCTAAATTGTCGAAAGTTAGGAATAGCGAATACTTTTTGCCACCGAATTACGATTCTCAATAATTTATTTAGTAATTAAGACTATTTTACATTAATATATAAATCGGATAGTAATATAGCGTATAAATGAAATATATTAGCGTATTAGTGTACAAATAAAGCTTTTTAGCTTGCCGACTGCCATAGTTGAATTAGTACATAAATCATGGATTTATGTACTAATATAATATGTAAACATACTTGAATATAATTATATGTATAATGAGACATGCCTTTACAAATATGCATTTTTATAAACTCTACAAAACTTATGTATTTTTTATATACGTTGTATACTCTTTTAATATTTTAGTTGGCTGAAGAAGGGCATAGGAGCCCGAAACGTGTAACTTTCACACTTATCAACTAAATAAAAGTGAGAAACCCCGCCAAGTGTCTTAATTTATAGCACTTTATTGTGTTCTAAGCAGCAAAAAATAAATGTTTAATCCTGCTTAAATGAATTCATTAATATGATGCACAAGCATATTGTTGATAAGGGTGATAGATTGATAGGAACCTTAATTAGTTTAGTCAGCATGGAAAATGATGTCTCAACTAAAAAATAATCTATAATGATAATGTTTTTGCATTGATTCAGATCAGAATACTCTATAAAAACATTCCAAAAGGTTATTCCGGTTTGTGGTGAAAAGGGGCTATACTATGTGAAACGTAAAATCTAAACTATAAAATTATTGCGAAAAACGGAATAATTTCTAAAAAATAAATGAATAAATTTGTTGTTCAAAAAATTCATTATTATCATTTAAATACATATCGATTTATGTGTAATTTCACAACATTAAAGAACTTCGTAAGATGATAGTTGCAATCTGAGTAAAGCTTATTTCTCTCTCCAACATGCGAAAATGCGCAGATCAGTTAAGCCTGGTACTAAAGCGTAGTACACATGCGGAAACGGACGACGAAAACCCACGACAGAAACGGTTGCCCTTCAGTTGTCTTTACGTGTCGCGTGTACTCACACGCGGAAATTTACAATTGAACAAACAAACTACTAAAGTAGGTAAACCATGTGCCAGTAGTCGAAAATGACGTCTACCGGGATTGCTTTGTTATATCAATTAAACTTTTTAATCCTGGTCTATTGAACTGGGGTTTTTCGACACCCCAAACGTCTTAAAGGTTGCACTATTCATAGATTTCGCAACAAATATTTGTTTCCTCTTTAGTAGCTTCATGATTTTATGCATAGAACATGCTCAGAAATTACTAAGGTATTGCAGAAACTCCATTAAGAGAAAGACAACAATTGTCAGTGGGGTGTCCAAATACCCCACAGTATTATTATGTTTTTTTTTTTTTTTTTTAATTTCATAAATATTTATTTAGTTTTAAAAATAACTATAATGTGACCACATTTATTATTTATAATATAATAATAAACGTGAATAAAAATAATTTATCTATAAGTTTATTTTAATTAGTTTTATTCCCTTAGAAATTCAAATTGGCTGACTTTGATAAACACACTGAAAAAATACCGAATATAGCAAGCTGCTTGTCATTTACATTGAGTGCCAAAGTACAATGTCAGCTAATGAATCAGAGTGACAAAAATGCTTGAAAAACACGATTTACATTTTTACTATTCGTTTTATAATAAGATCTAATGTAATGAGTTTTGATAAATGTTGTTTTTTATTTTCATGGATTTATGTACTAATATAATATGTAAACATATTTGAATATAATCATCATGGGCGTAGCGAGGGGGGAGCCTGGGTGGGCACGGCCCCTCCCAGGGAACCTGGTGCCCCCCAGGAAATCACAGCCGAAAAAGTGTTGAGTCGATTTGTAAACACCTAAAGCTAAAATAAAAGTTTTGAATACAAAAAAAAAGTGAACGGCTTGCTCGGTACCCAATAATGAACAATAATTTGAAATAATTCAATTTTGTGTCAGGTCGGCCTCCACTAGGCCCCCCCCATAACAAAACTCTGGCTACGCCCATGATAATCATATGTATAATGAGACATGCCTTTACAAACTAATGAGTAAAACTTCATGCATGTTTACTTACATGCTTCATTGACAAAAATAAAAGCGGGGGGGTGGAAAACTCCCCACTACATTAATGCCTAAAAAATTCACTACACTAACGCTTCACTAAGTTTGCCTTCGATCTTATCGCAAATAAAAAATCCTCAAAAACGAATAATTTGGATAGGAAAAATTTTCTAAATTGTCGAAAGTTAGGAATAGCGAATACTTTTTGCACCGAATTACGATTCCCAACAATTTATGCAGTAATTAAGACAATTTAACATTAATATATAAATCGGATAGTAATATAGCGTATAAATGAAATATATTAGCGTATTAGTGTACAAATAAAGCTTTTTAGCTTGCTGACCGCCATAGTTGAATGCTATCGTCCCACGTGATCTTTATGACCACATTGCTAAACGGCCATCTTATTATTCTAATTTTTGCCGTTCCGCTTTCTGAAATTTTTAACTTAGTATTCCGTCCGCTTCGACAGCAAAAGTGACGTCATTTTACAGTTCCGTGGACGGTTTCCCGTCGTCTGTTACCGTATGTAGGCCTGATACACACATGCGGTAAAGGACGAGAAATCCGTAGACTACCATGCTTTAGTGTTCTGTGTGAAATACCAACCCGACCACTTCCATAAACTTTGGCGAAAGGTATGCTAACGGTTATATTCTCGGGCTAGTGAAAAAAAATGTTTACAAAGACAATTTTTTTTGTTTTTTCAATTTTATTAAATTTATTTCTTAATTTTTTCAATTTTACAAATTTTTTTTTATTTTTTCACTTTATAATTTTTTTTAATATTTTAAAATCTTAAACAAATAAACAACGATGAAATATATAATATGAACAATAAAAATTACAAAAAGTACAATTAAATTGAAATAAATAGAAAAAAATTTAAATTAAACATGATTTTTTGTTACTTATAAAAACTTCTGTTTAGCATTTTTTGTGCATTTAAAAATATATGAATAACGATAAAATATAAAACAAAAACAGTGAAAATGAAAATAGATACAATGAAATTAAAATAAATAAAGAAAATTTAAATTAAACATGATTTTTTGTTACTTATAAAAACTTCTGTTTAGCATTTTTTGTGCATTTAAAAATATATGAATAACGATAAAATATAAAACAAAAACAGTGAAAATGAAAATAGATACAATGAAATTAAAATAAATAAAGAAAATTTAAATTAAACATGATTTTTTGTTACTTATAAAAACTTCTGTTTAGCATTTTTTGTGCATTTAAAAATATATGAATAACGATAAAATATAAAACAAAAACAGTGAAAATGAAAATAGATACAATGAAATTAAAATAAATAAAGAAAATTTAAATTAAACATGATTTTTTGTTACTTATAAAAACTTCTGTTTAGCATTTTTTGTGCATTTAAAAATATATGAATAACGATAAAATATAAAACAAAAACAGTGAAAATGAAAATAGATACAATGAAATTAAAATAAATAAAGAAAATTTAAATTAAACATGATTTTTTGTTACTTATAAAAACTTCTGTTTAGCATTTTTTGTGCATTTAAAAATATATGAATAACGATAAAATATAAAACAAAAACAGTGAAAATGAAAATAGATACAATGAAATTAAAATAAATAAAGAAAATTTAAATTAAACATGATTTTTTGTTACTTATAAAAACTTCTGTTTAGCATTTTTTGTGCATTTAAAAATATATGAATAACGATAAAATATAAAACAAAAACAGTGAAAATGAAAATAGATACAATGAAATTAAAATAAATAAAGAAAATTTAAATTAAACATGATTTTTTGTTACTTATAAAAACTTCTGTTTAGCATTTTTTGTGCATTTAAAAATATATGAATAACGATAAAATATAAAACAAAAACAGTGAAAATGAAAATAGATACAATGAAATTAAAATAAATAAAGAAAATTTAAATTAAACATGATTTTTTGTTACTTATAAAAACTTCTGTTTAGCATTTTTTGTGCATTTAAAAATATATGAATAACGATAAAATATAAAACAAAAACAGTGAAAATGAAAATAGATACAATGAAATTAAAATAAATAAAGAAAATTTAAATTAAACATGATTTTTTGTTACTTATAAAAACTTCTGTTTAGCATTTTTTGTGCATTTAAAAATATATGAATAACGATAAAATATAAAACAAAAACAGTGAAAATGAAAATAGATACAATGAAATTAAAATAAATAAAGAAAATTTAAATTAAACATGATTTTTTGTTACTTATAAAAACTTCTGTTTAGCATTTTTTGTGCATTTAAAAATATATGAATAACGATAAAATATAAAACAAAAACAGTGAAAATGAAAATAGATACAATGAAATTAAAATAAATAAAGAAAATTTAAATTAAACATGATTTTTTGTTACTTATAAAAACTTCTGTTTAGCATTTTTTGTGCATTTAAAAATATATGAATAACGATAAAATATAAAACAAAAACAGTGAAAATGAAAATAGATACAATGAAATTAAAATAAATAAAGAAAATTTAAATTAAACATGATTTTTTGTTACTTATAAAAACTTCTGTTTAGCATTTTTTGTGCATTTAAAAATATATGAATAACGATAAAATATAAAACAAAAACAGTGAAAATGAAAATAGATACAATGAAATTAAAATAAATAAAGAAAATTTAAATTAAACATGATTTTTTGTTACTTATAAAAACTTCTGTTTAGCATTTTTTGTGCATTTAAAAATATATGAATAACGATAAAATATAAAACAAAAACAGTGAAAATGAAAATAGATACAATGAAATTAAAATAAATAAAGAAAATTTAAATTAAACATGATTTTTTGTTACTTATAAAAACTTCTGTTTAGCATTTTTTGTGCATTTAAAAATATATGAATAACGATAAAATATAAAACAAAAACAGTGAAAATGAAAATAGATACAATGAAATTAAAATAAATAAAGAAAATTTAAATTAAACATGATTTTTTGTTACTTATAAAAACTTCTGTTTAGCATTTTTTGTGCATTTAAAAATATATGAATAACGATAAAATATAAAACAAAAACAGTGAAAATGAAAATAGATACAATGAAATTAAAATAAATAAAGAAAATTTAAATTAAACATGATTTTTTGTTACTTATAAAAACTTCTGTTTAGCATTTTTTGTGCATTTAAAAATATATGAATAACGATAAAATATAAAACAAAAACAGTGAAAATGAAAATAGATACAATGAAATTAAAATAAATAAANCAACGAAGAAACATAAAATAAAAGAAATGCAATAACAAAAGTAAAATGTTTTCAATGCTTCTTTTTGTATTTATAGAGATTTTTCTTCTATTTTTTTGTATATTTTAAAATAAAGAAGAAAAAACAACGAAGAAACATAAAATAAAAGAAATGCAATAACAAAAGTAAAATTTTTTCAATGCTTCTTTTTGTATTTATAGAGATTTTTCTTCTATTGTTTTATATATTTTAAAATAAAGAAGAAAAAACAACGAAGAAGCATAAAATAAAAGAAATGCAATAACAAAAGTAAAATTTTTTCAATGCTACTTTTTGTATTTATAGAGATTTTTCTTCTATTTTTTTTTCTGTATATTTTAAAATAAAAAAGAAAAAACAACGAAGAAACATAAAATAAAAGCAATGCAAATTATAGCAATGCAATAACAAAATTAAAATTTTTCAATGCTTTTTTTTGTATTTATAGAGATTTTTCTTGAAATTTTTTCGATATTTTAAAATAAAACTTTCTTCTTAAATCTATGAAAATAAAAATGATAATAATCAATAAATTTATCTAAAATATTCAAATTATTTAATAATTTTTAAATCAGTACGTTAATTTTCTTTCCTAAAAACCATTATTTACAAATCAAACGAAAATTATTCAGTGCATAATTATTAATTTGCTACTGTAATATCATTTATTATGTTCAAATACGTTATTATTAATTTGGAATCTTTGTCTACACATATATAATCTTTAGAATCTTCGTGTACACATATTCTCATAAATATTTTAATCTTTTATTCTATTTACTATGTTGCTTTCCCTGTTTTTCGAGACTAGTACACTCCCAGAATATATTCTTGTCGATAGTTGGACAAATATATATATATATTTGTCCAAGTATATATATATATATATAATCCTAATGCCCTCTAAAAGCCTACCCTAGTCTCTCTATATGTAAAATCTCAATCTTATAAAAAATACGATGTATCTCCACGTTAATACGTTTCCTGTTCTTCTATTACCTGGTCATTTCGTATTTGTGGTATATCGGGGATATTTTACTTTCTTAGAGTAGAAAATCTTCTAGTGTTAAGTGTAAAATACAAAAATATTGTGATTAAACACTTACCCGAGATAAACTCGGACCAAATCAAGCAGATGGAAACTTGATGCAAGGATGGAGGAAGAGATACTTATTCAAACTGAACGTACTCAGTTTCTCCATTTTTCATGTTTCTCCATACTTTCTGAGCTGATCTGAATGTGAAAAAACAAATATAATTATTTATTGATAACTTTTATCTGAATTGGAATTTTATCAAAACATATTGAGAGCGCAATATCGAGATTTGGCTGTATTTGTATTGATTAACTGGAAATATTACATTATATCAAATTGAGAATCAAAAATGTTATACTGTATTTATTCATTCTGAATGATATTCTTTCAGCGATATTTTAAATTCAATTTTACTATTTTAAAAGCTTCATAATTATTGGGCTGCAATTTGAAAAAAAATTGTACTATAAATTTCCACTATTAAATATTGCAGCCCGACATTGTGACGATGTAACAATAAATAATTGCTCGTTATTATTATTTTTATTTGTAGCTTATCTTTTCATTGGATTAGAAGCGAAACTAGTTTGGTAAATCTCGATGTAGCGCCAAAAATATAGGAAAGTTATGCCATTCTCATAAAAATTACAAAGTTTTCAAGCTCAAATCTCTGCGTACATCTTAATACTGTGTATAATTGTTGCTGTTTGAGGTACTTCGGTTTAGCATCACACTGGATTCAGTGAGAATTGTAAAGGCGAACGAATGATCGAGATAAATCGAACTTTGTACTGACATATACAGAAACTTACCTCTTCACTGGTTTCCATACTGCCTTGAAGAAAGACCCCGCTTTTTTCAATGCCTTTTTATTTTTAATAGCCCAACCGATAGTATACCCAATGGTGTTCTTATTTTCTGTGCAATCTTCGTGCTTCTTGAAGCCTTTATTTTTTTCGATGTTTGTTGGAAAACACATAATATCATTATTCAATTCATTGTCCTCCTTATCTTCAACTAATCGCTCACTAAATGTAGGAAGAAAGAATTTACAATACAGTATATATTTACAATTAGAAATTTACAATGCAGTAAAACTTATAGAGAAATTATAATACATTACTTGGGAAACATTTTATTTAATATTTCCCAAAATTTTCTATAAAATAAACAAATTATCGCTGAGATGTCTGTTATGGCAACGCAACACTTGGGCGATCCGCCTAGGGGAATGCTTTCTGATTCACGATTAAAGTTCCGATGCCTTCCGATCCCTTAGAGATCTACGTTATTAAAGTTATTACTATTTTGTGTACAAATTCACAGTTATGTACAGAACTCGTTACTGTATGTAATTTTTATCATTGAGATTTTTCGGTATAATGCCGATTTCTGAGGTAAACAATGGCGCTCTATCGAACTTTGAGTACTGTATATCATATATAGAGGATGTATGTGTCGCTTAACGATGTACTCAATTACATCACGACAGAGGTCCATAGTTTTCAATGGAGCCGAAGAATGCCTAGCCACCTGTACCTTTTCTACGTGTAGATAGGTATAGATAGATATATAAATAATTATCTTCGTTGTGTTATATATGGAGTGACCATATATTCATTGCCTAAACAAGGAGAGTTTTGAATAATGAGAGAAAAATGTGTTTTACACATATTTCGTTCTCATTCTTCAAAACTCATTCTTAAAAATGACAAAACTTAATGTTAAAAATCCAGTAACGAGTTGCTTAACTCTCCCGGTAACATTCTGTCGTTCCACCCGCTATGATATTTTATTTTAAAAAGATTTTATATTTTTAACTATTATAAAATAATAAAAAAAGCCTAATTTTGAGGGTAGGGATGGGTTTTATAAAAGATTTGTAAATCCTAACAAAGAGTAAAATCGTCGTTAGGTCCGACCCTACTTCAGGTAAGACACATGACTCTTTTTATCTCGCCACCCCTCGACCTATAACCATCAATGTTTAATTGCATCGATCTTTGTAATACACAAACCTCCCTAAAAATTTCTGAAATTTTCAACTAATAGCACAGGAGTTATTAAGCTTCAAAGAAGATAAACAAAATCGTATTCCCAAACACACACACACACATATCCATCTATACTTACAGAAAAAGCCCCGATTTTTGTTGCATTTCTTGACGTTTTAAGATCCCCCGAGTCTTGTAAAATTTACGATATGTAAAAGTCCTGGGAATCATTTTTTGATCGATCGCCATACTTTTACTTTATTATATATAACAGATCCGANTATATAGTAAATATATAGTAATGACTATAAATTTGTCACGTTGAAATATAAATGATATTAAGAGATTCTATTTATAGTTTTGAGGCCTAAAAACAAGAGAAAATGGAGACGTGTGTTCATCCTGTACATATAGTTTAAACAAATGGTAGAATATACTATATAAATTTACATAAGTGATTTCAGATACATTTGAATATACTGTACTATATAAATTTAAGTAAGTGATTTCAAATGTATCTGAAATCACTTACGGTATAGCAAGGAATGGTCCATATGACCATACTTTACTTTATTTTACTTTAATAGAAATGTACTATAATCTCAGAGTACATCCCCCGTCGTTTAGCAGCTCATTTCGTACCATATTATAATATAACTGTATTATAGTTTTGTCCACCTTGGACGTTCTTGTGTACTAGGATTTGTTATAATGAGGGAAGAAAAACACAATTTCGAATTAAAATATATTTACTGTGCGTACTGTACTGTACATATCAGATTTTATATGCCACTACAATCGAGCATTTTGGGTCAACATTCCTCCTCAGCAGACGTTACTTTTTTATGTTCATAGTTTAATATACCCATATGTTTCGTTCAGCATTTTCGGAATAGACCTTTAAAATGCCATTTTTTAAATTTTCCCAGCAAAAGTTTTTCTAAATAATTTTTTGTTTATTACAACGCAATTTCATTCACTAATTCGTTAAACGAATCATCACTAATTCGTTAAACGAGTTACCTACCCATCATCCCACGGAGTAATTATCCAGCTCACATCACCTCACTCTGCAGCTGTATGGTTATATTAAAATATAAACATCTAAAATATAAACATAAAAACGTAACGTCTGCTGAGAAGAAACGTTGGCCCTCGCGAAATGCTCGATTGTAGTAGCATATAAGATTACGTTACAGTAAATATATTTTAATTGGAAATTATGCGTTTCTTTTTACTCATTATAGGAATGTCCAAAGTGGACAAAAGTATAATATAAGTAATTAAGGACAAGAAGCACATATTAACACGATATAACTGTATTACATATAAACAGTAATATAAGTTACCTGTTAAAGCGATCGCACGAAATCTCATAAAATGGCCGAATCATCTTCAAAGCCTGTTCATAAGCAGGATTAATATGATTTTGCAAGATGGATTTTCCAAATCCACTTTGTGCGGGATCATCCTGCTCCAAGAGGCCTTTTTTCTTGCCGCGATATTTAAAATGATCCGAATTGTGCGGATCCACGAATCCCAATCTCGCCCTGAAAATGGAAAGAGAAAATTCACTTAACACAATAATGTTAAATTCCGAAACCTTTCTTTTAATCTTAAAATCGAATGTACAAAAATTTGCCAATGAATGCTTATATAAATTTTATATAAATTTTTATACTCTAAATTACACTAAAAAAATGTATAAATTATTACACTCTAAAGAAACTTTTCATTTAATTTACCAAAATTTCCTATCAAACTGTAAGCTAAACAAAGCATCGCTTAAGGATCTCGTGAAATTACGTTAATTTGAGTGAGGGAAACAGGTTTTATAAATTAAGCTTAAATCTTCAATAAGTATAAATCATATTATTATAAATTAAGATTTAAGTTATTAAGTTTTATATCATATCTATTAACTACTAATTTATTAATTAATTTATGACAATAGATAAATAAATTCATCTATTATGTGTAGTGAACCGAAAAGGCTACAGTTGACAAATAAATCTGTTAAAGTGGGTTTATAGAGTTAAAAACGTATTCTGTTTACTTTTCCAAGTAACAGTAAATGTAAAAAGTCCTGAGATGTATTTACTTAGCACAAGACCTTAAACTCTAAGCAGTTGAACTCGCAAGCAAATTTAACCTTTTCTTGTGAACACCAAAGTGATTATGAATACAGCAAAACACAAAAATGTTTGCTTAAAAACTACATTCAGAAATATCGAAGTGTCGAAATCTTTAAATCAAATTAAATTAATTATCATTTGCACCGAGCAATTTCATTTTAAAGCCATTAATTTTTCGAATGGATTTCTTACTTGCATAAATAACAATAAAATGTGAAAAATCTCTTATTCCAAATGTTGAGACGAACGATGATAGCTCACAGAATCATAAACCATTTTCCAATTTATCAACAAGCGCACTCTTCGGAAAACAATAAAAGAGCTAAACAATCAAAGGTCAATTGTTGAGATTCTTTGTTACGCGTTAATTGAAGTAGATAGAAATTTTAATGATTAATTTTTGGTTTTATTTTCGATTTTTAAATTTAAATTTTGAATTTTTGAGTCCCCGTGCAATAATGATTAAAGGGTGATGGTCATGGCAGTAAAGGTCTTGGCCCACCTCTCTGGAGGAGTTGTGATCGAATCCGGGCGAGCAACCCTCGAAGAATTTTTCATGAAAGCTCTATCTCAGATTTTGAGCTGAATATTCAAGTAATGGTGGTGAAGTTTGTGATTTCAAACAATTGCAGTATATCACTGCAAAACAATCAAATCTATTAATTCAATAGAATAGAAAAGATATTATATCTGCATTATCTTAATCAGTAATCTAATGTACAATATTTTGTTTCTGTGTTTGAAATATTACTGTTACGTTTATATATAAATGAATGAGAAACAGACATTTGCATCCAATACGCTCATTTCACGAAATACTGAAATCTTTAAAGACAAAGTTATTATTGAATGAATGGTTGTTTTTCATATAGAGTAATACTATTTAAATGTCGATATCAGAATCGTGGATCAATGCTACTGAACAGCAATACTGTATCTGTAGTAACAAAGATTATAAAAGTTTGATATTACATAATTTTTTAAAATAAAATTGAAGATAAAGTCTTTTAACAAAGGAATCACCATTTACAGTATTACTTTCCTCAACTCTTAAAGTAGTTCTAAAATACTTAAAGTAACCAGCAATTTTAGAGATTGTGTTCTTATTTCAGATATGTACTGAATTTTAAAGTTCTACTAATTAAGAAAAGTGTCCAGTAAGTTTCCCCTAGCAAACGTAATAACAATCTACCTATAATTGGCTGTGAGTGAGAGGAAGTTTTAGTCTTCAATCCTATCTTTCCTCTAACTATCCTAAGTATTCTTTCCAAAATACGGGATAATGTTATCCATATAATATTATGGATGCGTATGTCATGTAAGTAATGAATTTATAATTAATGCAAACAATAATTTTTTAGGTTATATACAGTACTTAGACATATTACAGAACGTTCAATTACTAATAGTAATAGCGCTTCTCTCAGTGCAAGAATATCAAATTTTAAATCCCCCTTCGTTTTATTTTATTTATAATTCCATCTCGTACTCTTATAGTATTAAATTTTTGGGGAACAATTCATTTTTAAGCAAGATGTTCATAATTTCTAACTAATGCCGCAAATTGAGTCCCGCATTGGCGCTGTTCGCCGTAGTGACATAATTCAGAACTAATGCTTGCTCAAGGGCTAGACGCTTGTGTAGATTTTCAGCAGCAAACTGGTGAAGCAATTTCAGTTGTAGAATTAATTCTATAATTCAAATTGTTTCACGTCTGAAGCATCGCCAGTTCCGATGTTTTAAACTTATGTTTTAAGTTGGATAGTTTTTTGTGTTTTTAGAAGAAGTTGTAATTTTCATCGCCAAGTAGCCTACAGAGAAAGGTCGGTCGTCAGATGTTTGTATTCCAGAACATTAAAACTGAATACTGTAAATGGTGATATTTACAGACTTCAATTTTATTATTATTTTTTAAGATTATATAAACTTTTATAACCTTTGTTACTGGAGATCTTACTGTTCAATAGCATTGATCCATGATACTGATATCAACATTTAAATAGCATTACTCTGTATGGAAAACAATCATTCATTCAATAATAACTTTGTCCTTAAAGTTTTTAGTACTTTGTGACATGAACGAATTTATATATGAACGTTTGTTTCTCATTCATTTAAATATAAATGTAACAGTAATATTTCAAACACAAAAACAGGATATTGAGCAATAGCTTACTGATTTCGATAATGCAGATATACAGTAATATCTTTTGTATTCTATCGAATCAATAGATTTGATTATTATGCACTGATATAATTGTTTGAAATTACAAATTACATCACCATTACTTGGATATTCTGCACGGAATGATGGATTTCTTTGGTATTCCTGCATACATTTTGTTTCCTTTGGGTCTTTTCTTGGCTTTTTATCTGTAAGTACATCATTGTGATCTTGACTTTATTTACTTACTTACATATGTATATAATTCAGATTTATATTAACTACTAAACATAAATTGTTAAAAATAATGTTTTATTTTATTTTTTAAAGAAACCATTTAACATTTACGCTGTGCATATTCTATTCACAATATTTAAGCTAATAATTTTTAACTTTTTAAGTATGTTACACTATAATAAACTATAAAATGATTTTAAGAGTTTACCAACAACATTCTTTTACACATGATATAATTGCATCGCTAATACACCAAAACTAATATTTTGTTACATTGATACTACGATTGTAATAATAAAAATTGCTTTTATAGGTATATGACAAGGAACTATGGTTATTGGAAAAATCGAGGAATTCCTGAAGTGCCTCCAAGATTTTTGGTTGGATCAATTGGTTGGAATATAAAATGTGTAAGTTGTTTGTATTATTCTACAATGTAAAAATATTTCTAGTTACTAAACTCGTATGTATCAACTGAAAATTCCTTATCAATCATTATAAAAATTTCTTCCAGCATCAAGGCAAACAAGAACAGGAATGGTATAACAAATATGGAAAAATATTTGGGTAATAAAATTGTTTATTTACAGTTAATTTTTAGCAAAGTAATTTTTTTATCTTTATGAAAAACTGAGATGTAAGTGATTTAAAAATATTACATAAAATCACATTAAACTATTTAAACAATTAATTTTTATAATTAATACTTTCTTAGTATCAAGTAACTTTTTACATTAGAATGTAATAATCTTTATCGATCTGTTATAAGAATAAATTGTTTAATACTTTAAAAAAATTAAAAAATTTATATGGAATGACGCAAATGATACAAACAAAAGAAACAAGATATGCATTGTTATATAATTGTAACTTGAATGTGACGTTAAAGTGTTAGATAAGATAGTTCAGGAGGAAGAGATTAAAGTCTATCATTGGGTCATTAAGTAAAAGGGAAGAATCGAATTAATCTTACATAAAATACATCTGAGGTTTAAATATTTTTATTAGAAGTTTGTTCAAAATTTTTATTTTTAATTAAAAACGTCATAATTTATATTTGCCAATAAATCTCACATATCTAAGTAATAGTACCTTAGCTTTATTATCTTACTGTGTTATCAAAATCGTAAATATTGATTTATTTTACAAAATTGGAATTATAATATTTATTTAATCAAATATGTAATTAATTTCCTTATTCTAATAAAAAAATAAATAAATAAGCAAGGTCTTACATAATTTGATGGTAGAAAAATGAAAGGAATGGATTCAAAAATTATAGAAATTTTACTTGGATAATATGTGAATAACCCTGGGAAGATACAATAGCAAAACTGTATACTATACGATGACGCCATGTTTAATACAATAAATACGGTAAAAAATTACTTTTAGAATATGTTTTCTAATTAAAGCTACCACAAATATACTTCAATTATTTCCCTCAAATTGTTATTGATTGGCAGAAGAAATATTTTTTTAAAATTAATTCAAAACGCTTACAATAACCAATTTTAAATTTGTATAAATAGGTATAAGCAAGAGTATGTGTTGCATCATAAAACAAACCAAATTATTATCGATAAGATAAATGGTATTATGATTATTATTTATAGATAAGGTAATAAAAATTAATCTATTAGTATTGTCTACTTAAAAACTTATATAAATTTTTAAACGTCTATTTTATCATAATACAAATGTTCCGTTTTTAAACTTTACGAAGCTTATTTAAAATTGGTTCGAAATTCTGAATTGAGAAAGATTTGTTTTATGAGAATTGCTGCTTAATCTCTGCTACATAAAATTCGATGTGTAATAACTTCATCTAAAAAAATTAAATATCAAAATTATTTATTTATACTAACATTAAAGATTTTTAAACCAAATTAAATGGTATTAAATAAATTAATATCATTTGTTGTGAAATACAGATACCGAATATCTTGAGTTATTGTAAGTTAATATAAATATTGGCATTATTTATGTGAATGGTATTCTATTTATTATATAAATTAAGTTTATACTTTTTTATTTTATTAGTATTTACGAAGGACCGTATCCTACATTATTGATAGCGGATCCAGAATTGATAAAGGCTGTTTTTGTGAAGGATTTTCATTATTTTTCGGCCCAGAGAGTAAATATTAAAAAAATAAAACCACTAATAAATATTTGTTTTAATAAACATTATGTGATAAAATAATCAATAAAATAACCAAAAATTCAGAATTTTCGTTTCGGAAATCGAATTTTGGATAGGGGAGTATTCATGCAAACTGGAGAAAGATGGAAACAATTGAGAAGTATGATGTCACCCAGTTTCACTTCTGGAAAACTGAGACTAGTGAGAATGACTTTTCCTTTTTTTTTTTTTTTTTTTTTTTTTTTTACAATAGTCACATATCAAAATATGTATTAGAGTAAAATTTAACAGCATGAAATAAATTTTATGTAATGGATTTTTCCCGAACTCTTTGTAGATGGATAATTCAGTCGATGACTGTTGCCAAACATTTATTAACAATATCATAGAAGAATCCGAAGGCGGAAAGGAAGTAGATATTAATAAGTAAGTATATTGTTAATTTTAGTATTATTTTCAATTAAATTATACCTGTGTACAATACATACCCAACGATGTCTTTGAGATAGACGGGTGGATTAAAATTTAAAGTGTCAGCCTTTCCTCTCTCCGAACCGGACAACGAAACTAATCGAGGAAGAAATCTCCAGGAAACTCTTAGGAGTGATCTGTCCTCCATATGTATGGTCAAGTCCTTCACTACGTTGTCGCCATATTGTGCGACATTATGACCTTGATATAAAAGAAAAAATTTCTCTTAAAAACTCGGTCCTTGAGGCCATTTTTGAATTTTTTTTTTTGAATTTTTGGAATGTTTTTAGGTCTCCAAATTTTTTCAAAAATTTTTACCCGCGAGAAAAAATTTTTATCGCGATTGTAATCAACCTTTAATGACTCGCGATTAACGCTTAATTGTTTTTAATGGGAGTTATTAATCAAATTTAATGCCACAGGGCAGAAAATGTTAAAAAAATCTTTGGGATAAACTGTCCGCTGAGTTGACTGCCGATTTTGGTTAATTAAAAATTATTCCATAAATTAGCGAAAACCGATGGCTGACAACTCTGATTCGGATGCACAACCTTTATTATTTCTGTCTATTTAAACCAGTGGTTCTTAACCTTTTAGTGATGAGGGACCATTTATCAAAATTTTTGTTCTGCCATGGACCACGAGCTGTTTGGCAGTAATATAGGTTCTTATAAGGTTGTTCTATAAATTAAACACGTAGAAAATTATTTGGAACCAAGAGTATTATATTATTTGGAAAAGTGTTACATTAATTATTATTTTAGTGCAATTTTTATGACTGCATACTGTTTACCAACTGCTGAATTTTTGGTTCCGTGCTACTCAAAGCAAATTCATGTCAGCACTGGCATCCAACTGATTTCGATGTTTATTTTTAATTATCAAAAGCACTGAGAATCCTTGCTCGCATAAATATGTAATTAAAGATAAAGTTAGGTACTGTATTTCTCGAATTTTAGGGAAAGCAATAGCTTTTTGGTTCCAAAAATCTTTAAGATTAATTCCTGTATCGAATATATTCTTGCCGTTACTATCATGTTGCATTTTAATTAACTCTTCTTGTATTTCATCCGGCACCTCAGAAATGTTGACTATGAAAGAATTGCAAATCAGTTTCCGAATAACTTTGTCCTTGCAGTCAGGAAAATAGCGATTGAATTCATTTTTCAAGCTTTGAAATTGAATGTAATGTTCTTTTGTATTTGTCCTTTAATCTCAGCACACTGTCAATCAATAATTGGGCTCAATGTATCAAACGCAGAAAAATTCTCTCTTTCGACTTTGCGGATCCATAGGTCGATTTTAGCGATAAACGCACTGATTTTATCTTCAAATGTAAATTTATTGCTAGTGCCTTCCAAATTCATATTTTCAGACCACGCACCATACCCCAGCCCAGTCCGATAGCGGACTGGACTGGGGTACCTTGACGTACTACGCCTTGTCATCAACTCTTCGTTATTTATTTAATAATTTTGGGATAACTTTGCAGACCACTTCGGGTGCTTTCAGGGACCACCAGTGGTCCACGGACCACAGGTTAAGAACCACAGATTTAAACAAAGTTTATCCTAGTATTGGCAGAATATTTTTTAGAATGATCAAATATTACAACGTTACTCAAATCTTCTTACTCGAATACTGGAAAGTATATAAATTAACACTCCTAAACCTTATAACTCCAGTAATAAACATTTAATAGCAAATTAACGTTTTCGACCGTACATTCGGTCTTCTTCAGGTGCAGGAACACAATTATGATATCGTTAATAAAAGGCACACCACCGCCCTTTCAACATATGCGACTGAACCTGGCATAAGAGCTGACCTACATGAGGCCAAACTGATTAAACTTTCTCACCGTGTAGAACACCTACGAAACCTTGAGGCACTTGAAATTTACAAGGCCAGGTTACGCACCAATTGCATTAACTCTAATGATGCCGGTAATGTGTCACACGCTTTGGAAATACTGCTATGAAGGAACGGGCAATGCCCACACTAGCGGTTAGAAGCCACACTTCCATTTGATGTATTTATATATGTCACTATAGGAACTTATGTATCATATTTAACATGTCGTCGCCATGGCAATGCACATGCATAACTTTTTATTCTTGTAAATTACGGTGGTACTGTTCTATTTTTTGAAAATAATTTTAGAATTTTTGTTCTATGCATTCACATGTTCGAATCTAACCGGTTTTTTAAACCTGAAGAAGACCGAATGTACGGTCGAAAACGTTAGTTTGCTATTAAATGTTTATTACTGGAGTTATAAGGTTTAGGAGTGTTAATTTAAATTACAACGTTATATAGCGATTGTAAATTTCAAGAATCGATTTTGATTTTAAAATGCTTTGTTATCTACGTTACGTCATCGAGTTTAATGAATCTTACTCTATATAACGTAATCGTAAACTATTTTTTGGCGATACTATATCTCGTCTGTAAAATCGCGCTGCTGTTAACGGCTGTACACTTTACAGGTATGAAGGAGTATGTACTCCTTCATATGTCAGGAGTTGCAATTTGGCATAGTATTTGGTGATCAAATCATGCGCACATAAAATAAACCAGACTTGTAGGTAGTCAGGGGACCCAGAATCGAGTCAAAATAAAATACAAAATGCTGAAACTGTTTCTACAAACAGGCGCGAGTGCGAGATTTGCGCATGAGTTGCTCGCACTCTCTGAAACATAGTATCGACCCAAGAATGACTTCGCCGTTTTACTTGTTTATTATAAAGTACAGTATGTATATTAAAGTATTGTAGACAGTATCTTACCATATCTACTGCTGTATAGTTTCGTGTAGTCTCCAATCCGTCCCACGCCTTTGACTATTCATTTTTCCTTTTCCATCTTGTTTATCGTTGCTTTTAGTAAGACGACAGAGCAGTAAGAATTTTTCAGCAAATGGCTGATAGCTGTCCACCGAGTGAAAGTATGTTATTCTGATGTTCAATCTTCTTTTTGTGTTTGCTCTTTCTCTTACAATACAATATCAGAATTGCTGAGCATAGCTGATGGTAAGATACAATAGAAGGTTATATACATAGTGTTTGATAAACATTTCCAAAGCATTGCGCCAAGAGGGTGCATATAGTATTTCGTGAGTAGAGTAAACAAACTTAGGCGCGACAATAAAATTCATACATTAAAATGCCCGATAAAACATAAATTGTTTGTTTGTTTTGTTGCACGACAGATACTAATACAGTAGAGCGTCGTTTATCCGAATCAATTGGGGACTGGGGTTGTTCGGATAACTTATTTTTCGGATAACCGATTACAGTAGACCCCCTATAATGCGGGTTCATATAATGCGGATTCGTATATCGCGCGAAAAAATTGAGACCGTATTCGTATAAAGACGCTAAAGAGACTCGTAAAATGCGGTAAAACGTCATCGCCGACTCGTGTCGCGACAGGATTGGTCGAACCTGGACCGATAGTGGACGAGCAGCCGAACTACTTACACGCTACAGAGAGTTTAGGCGGGTAAGTTGAGCTTACTCAGTGCCGTACCGTAGTGGGGACGGCAAAATTTCACAATAAATAACAATAATATCTTGTAAAAATTTGAAACATCCTAATCTATAATTGCATTGTGCCTACGATAGTGCTATCGTCGGGACAGTCCGGGAATCGACTCGCCGGATGAAGTAGTAACTTTTTCATCCGAGGAATTCCTGCGAAACCTGTTGACCCTTTTTTTTTTATTTTTTGCTTGTACGATTCATTCGCGTTCATATACACCACTAATATTCAATAGAACTATTTTAAACAGGTCGCTGCACTACCACCGAATTTTTCATTGCTTGTTCTGTGACAAAACTGAATTTTGGTCTTTTAAATTGAAATACCTAAATAAAGGGGGCGAAATTTTCCTCAGCCCCGGGCGGCTGACACCCACGGTACGCCACTGAGTTTACTTTCGTCTGTATAGTATATAGGCTCCAAAGTTCAATGAATTTTTCGCAGAAAAATAACTTATCAGAAAACGCGGCCGCCGTTTGGTGCGCTGCTCCCCGACGAAAACAAGCTTAAATTAAGCAATGGCGTGGTCGAACGGTGCACACTCGGTAAGTAATCCTACAATTTTTTGTTTATAGCATAGTTTATACGGATTATTCCGAAAAAATTATACCTGTTTTGGAAATGTTGAGTGAAATTAGTCTAGAATCGATTAATTTTACGAAAGAAAACCTTTCGAACAGTCATAGTCCGTAAACTTCGCACGTGCCGGGCTGTGATTGGCTCATGTATTTGAGGATTACTACAACGCGAAATTCTTATAAAACGGAACGTATCTACTGCGTTATAGAGGGGTCGACTGTATGTACGAAAAAATATGTTAACCTATCTCATGTTAAAATTTTTGTCCGTTGCGTGTTGCTTCGCGTTGAATTTTCGTCGATGTTAATCCCCTAATGTAAACTTTTTAAAATAATAATCGTGGCTATTCTATCGTTAAACATTATTTTTTTATTTTTTACAAACAAAATAAATATATTGAAAAATATAAAAACAAAAAAGTTATACTTCAGAAGTTAATCTAGTATCAAAAACGTTCGATTCCGCATGACACACAGTCCTCAGAAAAACACCACACAAAAGTGCCAATGCTGCCAGCTAAAACACACACATATATAAACATCAACTCACAGCCCGAGTAGATAATAACAACACCAAACGATCGCCTAATTATCGGGCTATAATATGGCTATTTCAAATGATTGGAACTAAGTAATTTGACATTAGAGGTAGGCGTTAGGCGCCATCTCTTAATTAAATTAATAATTAACCAAGTACGGTTATATCTAAATCGGCGATGTATTTAACCAAGTAAGGTTATATCTAAATCTAATATACTTCTGGAAGCGAAGACTCGCTCGGGGTCCGGGTGGCGTAACTGGCAAGCGCACCGCACGGCAAACGGAGATTGCGGGTTCAAGCCCCGTTCAGGGCCAGTTCTTTTATTCCAGAATGTTCTAAATTTATTTATTTAATTATTATTAATTTAATTAAGAGATGGCGCCTAACGCCTACCTCTAATGTCAAATTACTTAGTTCCAATCATTTGAAATAGCCATATTATAGCCCGATAATTAGGCGATCGTTTGGTGTTGTTATTAAAACACACACATCAACAAAAAAATATTGGAGTAGCCAAAGATTGCAGCGCCAAATTTTGCCAATTCCAGTCTGCAAATTTAAATTTTGCCGACTGGAATTCTTTCGGATATCCGACTTTCGGATAAACGACGCTCTTCTGTATTCAATTCATATTACAGAATAAGTATGAGACGAACATAAAATATGAACATGAAAATTGCAGTTTACTGTAAGCATGCAATATGAGTGAGCAAGTCACTGAAGAGGAGCTAGTGCTGGCTCAAGAAAGGAACTGTGCTGAAGGTGAAGTACTTAATGATCAAATCTCTGAAGTAGTTGTTTTGTTTTTTGCGTACGTATTTATGTGCATTCATGCCAAGTATCCCCATTTTCTTCCATTGAAGTTTTCAATTGATGTCTTTCTAGTTCTAAACGAATGCAGTGAAAGATATAATCTTTGTTACTATCCGGGATGTTACAAAAGGAACAGTGGTTCGTTTATTGTAAATTAAAATGGCTAAGTTAAGAGTGATACCTATCATGTCCAGTTAAAAGCTGTTTATGTTAATCCAGTTATTGTTGATGTAGTCTTCTATTGCAGGTATAAATTTGTAAGTCAGATGATTATGATTGTCATTCCATTTGAGTTGTTACTCTTTAATAAGATCCCGTTTAAGCATGTTTTTAATATGTTTTATGGGAATTTTATCGTAGGAAATATCAATAGAAAGGTCGTCCAGTGCTGCAGATTTTGCTAGCTCGTCGGCGCTCTCGTTTAATTTGGTGCCAATAAGAGCTTTTGTCCAGTTTAAAGGAAACAGAGTTAGGAGAGGTGATTATCTCTTTTATGAAATCAGTTGCTATGAGGTAGTGGCCCAGGTTGTAATACCGAGGCGCAATCAGTATAGAAAGAGTACTGGGTATTGCTCAGTCTGCTGTTACTCAATTGTAATGCCTTGAGTATGGCCAGTAACTCTGCTTGAAAAACAGTGCAGTATGTGTGAAGTCTATATCTGCTGCTGTGGACTTCGGTGTGGTTGTTGTAAACAACAAAACAGCAGCCGACTCCCGAGCCTAGCTTAGATCCGTCCGTGTAGATGTTTATTTACGTGTGAGCCCTAGAGTTAATTCTGACCGATGGGAGGCGATAAGGATTGATGGTAGACGTATATTCTATTGGTTTGCCTATGTCGTTGGCACAGAGTGTTTCATTACTAGTGACGACGTTGCTGCCCCTGAGTATATTCCAAATTTATCATGATTTTCTATGAGCATATTAATAGGGGCTTCTTAGTAATAATTTGCAGGCTGGAAGTGGACAAGTGCGGTAGCGTTTGGCGATATGCAGCAGCGCCCTCCTATGGGATGAGATCAATTTCCTTGATATGCGTGATTTTTTAACTGCATCTGCCCACGTGTTGCTGGCGTAAATAATTATTGGTAAGTAAACCATGTCATATATGGTGGCCATGACGCCTGAATCCAAGCCCCAGTTATTTTTAGCGAAGCGGGCTAAATTTTGGAATATTTTCCCAGTATTGTTACATATATATTCAATGTAATTTGTCCACAGAAGCCTGTGGTCGACAATAACTCCAAGAAATTTGAGCGCCTTTAATATCTTAATTGTATTTCTTCCCATTTTAATGGTAGGGACTCTTCTTGTCCGGCCTGGTGAATATTATACCTTGTGACTTGTTAGAGTTGAATGAAGCTTATGCTTAGACCCCAAGTTTCCATGTTATTGATAATCTCGTTGCCCTTGAGCTCCAACTCCGCACGAGAGTTAAGTTTAGTTCACACTGAGCGCGATTCGCTAGCGAAAGCGAAAAACAGAGCGAATTACACGTCAGACATGACGTCGTTTCCGGCGAATTTTACCATTTCGCGAATCGCTTCGAAGTTCGGAACTGTCGAGCTTTTTCGCTTGCGAAAAAATTTCGCGCCAATCGTATTCCCGCTAGTTGCCACGTGGTTCTTGTTGTTTTCAAGATGGCTACAGAAACTTTCTCACGTAATAGATTACATGTTGTAATTACGGATTTTAATATTTCTCTCACCCAACATCGTTTTCTTTTTGACTTATTTTCCTTTCTCAAAAAAAAAAAAAAAAAATGTGGTTAACCACGAAATATCAGAAGCGGCCATTTTGTTTTTTGAGATGACGTTTTCACTCGCTTGCAAATGATTGGCTGCTTAAAATTCGCAATCGCTTTTCCCTTTTGGTTGTATGGTCAATTTCGCTAAGCGAATAAAAATCGCTTTTCGCGTTTCACATTCGCTTTCGCTATCCGCTCAGTGTGAACTAAGCTTTAGCCTTTATGAGGATGAAGACGTCATCCGCATATGCGATGGTGTCGTCTTGTCCAAAGTTCTGTTTGAGAAAGAAATCAAATATCACGTTCCATAGGAGCGGGCTACAAGCAAAATCGTCCACAAGATTTTGCGTGGTGCCTGGTGATTTCCTGCTCATGGTAATTATTGCCTGATTGGAGAACGGCTTTCTGTTAGATAAATAATTTTTTAAATGTATATATTGGCTGGACTTGCTAAGTTGCGCAATTGGAGGAGTACAAGTGGCCATCAAGCCGAGTCAAAGATCTTGCTAAACTCAGGCTCAGTACGTAATGATTGTTTTCCAGGTATGAATATACCTTGTCTTTAAGAATTTTTATTGTGTCTGTTGTAGATTTTTGTTTTCTAAATCCAAATTGCTTGTTGGTCAGTTTATTATTGGCTTCAAGATGCTACTTGAGCCTTTCAGTTAGTAGTTTCTCCAAGATTTTCTCCATTACCGGTAAGAATGAAATGGGCCTATATTTTCAGGCTTGGGGATAGTCAGTAGCTTAGCAATTTTCCACGAGTTAGGAAAAATACTATATTTAAAGCAGTTGTTGCTTATATGGGTTAGCATTCACACCTTTAATTTGCCGTCTTCACTTCTCTATATCCAGAGAGTCCTCTTTCTGCCATCCCCTTTCCTCCAAATCCTCTGCCACCTTGTCTTTCCATCTCAGCTTCAATCTTTCCAACGTAGTCCAAACCAATTTCTAATCCTTTTTCCAACATAGCCCTCACTTTTTCTGTCCACATGTCCAAACCTCTTAATCTACTTTCCTGCATATTCTTACTTATAGGACCCAACATGACAGTTGCTCTTATGTATCGATCCTTATTCTGTCCTTCTTCGTCACATAACACATCCATTTCAGCATTCTTATCTCAGCTGTCTCCATCTTTTTTTCCTGGGCTCTTATAACTGCCTCCTACATGTCAGCACTGTACATCATTGCCGATCTTACCATGGTATTTTTTATTCCGAAGTTTAATGACAACGTTAAATTAACTTCGCCGATAGGTATTCTATAGTTTAAATGGAAGCTCGTGCAACCGATAATTAATGTTATTGAATGCATATGTGAGAACTCACGGTGAGAAGCTAGTAATTTCATATGTGAGAACTCACTGTGAGGAGCTAGTAATGAAATTACCAGGGGCGTGCCGTGACATTTGACGATAGGGAAGCTGTGTTTCTGTAAGAAGCCGACATCCAGGGACAATCAGTCAATCGCGCGTCAGTGATGGTCTAGGGTCCATTCGTATCGTTTATTCGATAAGCCAGTAAAAACCGTAGACTTCTCTAAATGCATTTTTAATATCACAATTACATTCCGAATCGCTAGCCACGATATAAGGGCTACAATTAAAAATAAAATAATAAAAACTTACTCGGTGAAATAAAATATGTGGTGGATGTACCGGTACATACAAAATATTCTTCAATTATATGAATATACTTTAAAGAAAATTATAATTAAATATAGCTTTGCAAAGAAACGTACATAAAAATATAAAATATTCTTTACTTTTTAAATCTTAAAACAATGCACTTAGTCAAGTAGCTCCCAATGAGTGGCTAATGAATGGAATCGAAGACGGTTGCAGAGCGTGCATGCACGCACTGCCAAATCCCCAGGGTGCCGATACCGGTCAATTCAAATACCTCTTTTGTCGCATCATTAGTATATCTGAAAGGACGCGACAGGGCTGTTGTAGATTTTAAACGTTTCTCACCATAGCTGTAAAAATCTAAATA